TTACGGGTTAATTTTTTTATTATAAGGTTGGTGCGGCTGAAGCTACGGCTAGTCTACATAACAAAGGACTGAGCCTCTGTTATGTAGACTGGTTGAGAGGGGGAGGTGTCAGAGTTGTTAATGTGCGGCTGCTGCTAATGGGACTGAGCCTTTGTTATGTAGATGGTATAATGAATGCTATGCACGCAGTCCTCGACTTGTGAACACCCGACTTACGAACATCCTCACTTACGAACCAGATTCGATGAGATTTTGTCAATATTTACTTAAAGCGCGAACTCCCATTTGCAAACTGGACCACTGAGCTGTTTTTTTTTAAGCGGAGCGATCCCCCACAAGATGTAATGAGTCAGCTTCGCGCTGGGTTTGTGTGTGTGTGTACACGTGGACGTGTGTGTGAAAGTAAGTGTGTAAGTGAGTGTGCCCCTGTGTTTATGTTTGTGGGGAGCGGTAATGCAATGGATAGCACGCTGCGCGACCCGCGTTCGATTCTCGCTCACGGCCAACACCAGTGACGATTATCTGGACCGGTCCTGGGCCTCCCCTAGGTCGAATCAGCCTCAAATGAGTACCTCTGGTGCGATATGTGAATATCGCCACTAGGGAGACAAAGGCGGCCGGGCGTGGCGTTGGTCACCCACCTCCTCGCGTGCCGTGCCAGCATTCATAGGTGCTCGCTAACAGCACTTGCCCCAACGGTCTGTTCAGGCTATACGGGGGGTCTTTGTATGTGTGTGCGCGTGTGCCCCCGTGTGTGTTTGTGCAATTGTGGGGACTGGTTGCGCTTTTTTCCGACAAGCAAGACAACTTTCGATTTAAAGCTTCTTTCGTGACTGCAGGGATTCATCTTCTTGGTTCTTTCGGTAAAGTCACGTAGAAGGAAAATAATAAAATAATAAAAATAAAACATAATAAAGTAATGTTTTATTTTTATTAAAATAATAAAATAATAAAAATGAAACATTATAAAGTAATGTTTTATTTTTATTAAAATAATAAAATAATAAAAATGAAACATTATAAAGTAATGTTTTATTTTTATTATTTTATTATGTTTTATTTTTATTATTTTATTATTTTCCTTCTACGTGACTTTACCGAAAGAACCAAGAAGAAGCAAGACAACATCGAGACTCAAGATGAAATGAAAATAAAAGGGATTTTTTTTCCTATTTTGTTACTTGACTTGATGTTTTATTTGCTGCGCAATATTTATGACATTATTACATGCAAATGTACAATATTTATTTGTATTTCTGAGTTTAACAATACTTCCCTTTATTGTTCAACGGTAACGCATTTTATAACACTGACCGTATTTAAATACAGTACATTACTGTGTTCCGACTTGTGAATGGAACCCATTCGTAAGTCAAGGACTTGTCGGTAAATCATTATCAATACCCTTACAATATGTAGTACTGTATTCTTGTATAAAACTAGCTCATAATGGCCTCTTGTTCCAATGATGTCATGAAACTTTTTAATAACCATTTAAAGATGGCGAACTGTGTTTTAATAAATGTAACACGTAGGCTTTCGCAACCAATATTTGTAATACAAGTTAATGTGTCGTTAACCAACCACCACCCGACACAGCCAATTATTAAGGTTTGTCACGTAAACAAAACGTGCCAATTTGTTACTACTTCACACAGCGAGAGGCACACCCACGGACAGAGAGAGACACACAGAGAGAGACAGCGAGAGACACATATAGAGAGACACACATACACAGAGAGAGACACACAGAGAGAGAGAGACACACACACAGCGAGAGACACACACAGACAGAGAGAGACACACAGAGAGAGACACAGAGAGAGACACAGAGAGAGACACACACAGAGAGAGACACAGAGAGAGACACACACAGAGACACACACAGAGAGAGACAGAGAGAGACACACACAGAGAGAGACACACACACAGAGACACACCCAGCCAGAGAAACCCATATAGAGAGACACACATACACAGAGAGAGACACAGAGACACAGAGAGAGAGACACACACACAGCGAGAGACGCACACAGACAGAGAGAGACACACACAGAGAGACACAGAGAGAGACACACACACAGAGACACATAGAGAGAGAGAGACACAGAGAGAGACACACACAGACAAAGAGACACACATAGAGGGACACACCCATAGAGAGAGAGACACACACAGAAAGACACACCAACACACAGAGAGACATACACACAAAGTGACACAGAGAGAGACACACACATACACACAAATAGACACAAGACAGAGAGACATATATGAAGACAAACACAGAGAGACACACAAAGAGACACACACACAAAGAGACACACACAGAGAGAGAGACACACACACAACAACATCACACCTTTTTATTGCTGAAAGGATGAAGCCTATTCTTATTTTTTCATCATTTTGATACTGCCAAAAATATATAATAGAGTTATGAAGTTATTTTTCACAGAGGTCCAGTATACAGAGAAACTGGACCCCACCATACAAACCCCATTATAACAGGGCGCTTTGGTGGCGAAATATTCACTGCCTCATCTGGTATGCAGGATCACGTGGGTTAGATCCCGACCCTGATGCTTGCATGCTCTCCCCGTGGCTGCGTGGATTTTTTAATCCTTTATATTAAGTTCACTTGCTTGCTTGCTTACGACCGTGCAAATCTTTCGGTCGTTTTTTAACCCACTTCCCGTGACAGTGTCTGAATTCAGACGCTGTCTTTCCGACAGACCTGTTCTTCACCTGAGGACGGCTGCTTGCGTTGTGGCCGAAACGTCGTGAGAATTATTGTATTATGTTTTATTTCTATTATTTTATTATTTCCCTTCTACGTGACTTTACCGAAAGAACCAAGAAGATGAATCCCTGCAGTCACGAAAGCTTTAAATCGAAATGATGCATTGTATTTTAAACTGATTGGTCCACACCAGAGGCAGCTTTCTTCAGAGCCTAGTCCAAACAGTGTAAGACCAGAGGACGCCAAAAGGCACAAAGACAACGCACTATAACGACATGTGGTTAATGCAGACACGATTCCCTGTAAAAGGTTTCTGTTTGGTGTTTTAACATCTTAACACACTTTTTTATTGCCAGAAAGGGTAAACCTATTCTCTTTGGTTCTTTCGGTAAAGTCACATAGGTATAGAAGAAAATAAATCACGACGTTTCGATCGCAACACAAGCGGTCGTCCTCAGGCGGAAAACATATGATCCAGCAGTGAAACTGCTGAAAACGTCGTGATTTATTTTATTTTATACCTACGTGACTTTACCGAAAGAACCAAAGTGTATGGATTCCTGCAGTCACGAAAGCTTCAAATGAAGGTAAATCTATTCTTAGAATAAACAAATACAGATAGTCCCCGAGTTACGATGGTCCGACTTACGATATTTCGATATTACGATAGTGATATGCCAAAATTGTAAACGCAGCAGCGTGCAGTACAATATGATACGTTACGATACGTTCAATGCATGTTAAAAGTTTCTATAGCAGATAGGATTGTTTCCTGAAAAAACTTTCTATTAAATTGCAGTTCATATAGGTAGGCTAAGAATTTACCTTGTTTTTTTTACTTCACATTTTACTGTGCAATACAGTATTGTAATTAATAAATACATACAGTGTATAGTTTATACAGTACGGTACTGTAAATTGCTCTAATTTTGCTCAATTATCACCATTCTTTAAGACTCCTGGGTAGGCTAGACCATCTTCGACTTACGATATTTTTGACTTACGATGGGGGTTGTCGTAACGCATCTCCTTCGTAAGTAGACGACTACCTATAGTTGAATTTATCAGTCCTGTGACCTAAAATGTGACATTGCCCTAGATTTGAAGCTTTCGTGACTGCAAGGATTCATACTCTTAGGTTTTTTCGGTAAAGTCACCTAGGTAAAAAATAAAATACAATAATAATAAATGAACAGATAGGTGAAATTCCTCCCCGAAGAGGAAATTAATTCTAGATTTGAAGCTTCCGTGACTGCAAGGATTCATACTCTTAGGTTTTGTCGGTAAAGTCACCTAGGTAAAATAATAAAAAAAATGAACAGATAGGTGAAATCTTCCCCGTAGAGGGTATTAATTCTAGATATGAAGCTTTCGTGACTGCAAGGATTCATACTCTTAGGTTGTTTCGGTAAAGTCACCTAGGTAAAATAATAAAAAAAATGAACAGATAGGTGAAATCTTCCCCGTAGAGGGTATTAATTCTAGATATGAAGCTTTCGTGACTGCAAGGATTCATACTCTTAGGTTGTTTCGGTAAAGTCACCTAGGTAAAATAATAAAAAAAATGAACAGATAGGTGAAATCTTCCCCGTAGAGGGTATTAATTCTAGATATGAAGCTTTCGTGACTGCAAGGATTCATACTCTTAGGTTTTGTCGGTAAAGTCACGTAGGTAAAATAATAAAAAAAATGAACAGATAGGTGAAATCTTCCCCGTAGAGGGTATTAATTCTAGATATGAAGCTTCCGTGACTGCAAGGATTCATACTCTTAGGTTTTTTCGGTAAAGTCACGTAGGTAAAATAAATAATAAAATATAATAATAATAAATGAACTATTCTTTGGTTCTTTCGGTTAAGTCACGTCTAAAGATAAAATAATAAATTAAATAATAGCATATCACGACGTTTCGATTGCAACACAAGCAATCATCATCAGGTGGAAAAAATATATATAATCCAGCAATGAAATAGCAACAAAAATCTAACTGGAAAAAACTATAGAAAGACATACAAGCAGACATACATCACAAGGACACACAGAGAGAGAGAGGACACATATCGGCACAAAGAGAGAATAAATTCCTGCAGTCACGAAAGCTCCAAAATTAAGAATAAATGAACTGATAAAAAACCTAAAATGTGTCATTGCCTCTTTACGTGACCCAACCAGCGTCGCAGTTGACCCCTGCGGCTCTTGACCAATTAGGTGCCGAGCCCCGCCCCCCCCCACCCCCCGCTACACCCCCCCCCCCATTCAACACTTCCCCACGTGTGTCCGTACCTCCACGTGGAAACACGCGGTGTGTGAATTCGCGCTCGCAAATAGCTTTCACCCTCCCACTTGAACACAAAACACGAGCAGCGAGACACGATGGGAGGACAGCCGAAGAAGAAGGTACGTTATGAACGAGATTTACCTTGCAGCAAACTGTTCGTGGTAAAGTGTAAGCGTGCCGTGTTTAGGCCCCACGGGCGCTACCGGTCTGAACTAGAGGCGGTGCCCGCTGCCCAAGCGCATTGCGCGGTCGGGTTTCTAGGCGAGGCCGAGGCTTAGGCCTTTGCGGCCTTGGTGCCGTTTAAAGTTGCGCCACACTCTACGCAGTTTTCATCGATGTTTCGCTACTTGTAACTTACCTAACTTTTTAACAAGTAACTGATAACTGAAGGTATTCTCCATCTCGTCTCAGCTACGTGTGTTTGACTATACTTCACCACACTGGTTTAGTGCGTTTTGGTGAAGGAGGTTCCAGGGGCTGTTCCGATATCGCTCAAACGAAACTTTTATTATTTTACCAGTTAAGTGCCACTGAACTATATAGTTATTTTTAAGAATCGGCCAGTCCACGCATGATAGCTCAACGAAGTGCCATGTGTGTGCAAATTTATAGCAGCCAAATAATCTAATGATATTAGCCGCAGATGGGAAATTTTATATTTTGCCTGCATCCTGAATATTTGCCCAATGGCCATTACATTAATTAAAATCGTTCCATCTGGAAGTACGCAGAAGAAAACTCGGACTCTTACATATATAGATTAAATACTCCCTGCCTTGGCATGTCCCGGTCATCTCGCAGTACACGAGGTTCCAGATATCACTCCACTGATCCGTGGCCAGGAATGGAACTCAAGGTCCGCCTGATTTAGCGCGAACTCGTGTGCACACGCGACAAGAAAGAACCCTTAGGATTTATAAAGCGACTAAATGCAGTCGCTTCTGAAGACGCTGTAAGCTCAGGGAAAACACAACCATCTAAAGAGTTTTAAAGGTTTGGTGCGGGGAAGGAAGGGGTAGATTTTACAGGCCCTAGAGACGACTATGGAAGAAGTTGTGCAGAATAAAACTCTTTGAAGAACACGACTGCCATCGAGAGAAGGTTCACTGCGCATTTTTACAATGCTTTGTTTTACGGATGATGAAATGAGAGAATATCAGAATCTTTATTCTGGAGAAATCCGATGATCTGTAAAGCTCTTTTTCACACATGTCCAGTAGGCGGGCGAGTTAGAAAGCTACAATCGAATGAAAACGGAATAGAGCACTTTGAAAGCTGATAATGTTTATGAAATATAGTCTTGGCAGTGGGCCTAAAGATATGGATCACAAACTTCAACGAAAAAAAAATTGGAACAAAACTTAAGCAATGTGCAAACCGCAGTGAAGTGCGTGCTTGGAGTTACACTGAGGCACAGGAAGAGGGCCACATTGAACAGGGGAGCAAAATACAGTCCATTGTTGATTGTTACGGAAAGTTACTATACGTGGTTTTTCGTGGGAAACATCACTGGAAGGGACGGCCACCAACGAAAGAGACTTGGTGATTGGTCAAAAAAAATAGTGGGAAAATGGCCAAAATAACGACCACCGTGGAGATGCAGCGATGATGAGATCAGCTCCTATGCAAGATTGAGGTGGAATGTGGCATCGCTTTTCAGTGAGGGATGGGGTGATGGCACGGGGAGGCCGTCAAGCAGCAGTGGATACGACATGGCTCATAAGGAGATTTGTTTAAAGTCTTATATATTGGTGCAGTTCGTCCTGCCGAAGGAAAGGAAATTGCACGACTGCGCTCGGCACTAACAATTAGAGTTTGTTTTGTAATAAGAGCAATTACACATTCAGATGCTGGGGCCAGTCTCAATATGACTACTGTTGACTTATTACAATATGGTACTGTTCTCATTTTATCTACCTTGACGGAATGATAGGCTGATTAGACTCCCGACTTTGCAGTCCAGTATTAATATCCATTCACATGGTGCTATCACTCGTGACATTTTAAGTGTGTTTTAGCTTGGTTAAGGTTGCTAGCGTGGTTCTTTGTCATTTAGATGTTTTACTGTGGTGTATTGCAACCCAGTGGTGAGTGGTGGTGTTGACCTTAGCACATGATGCTCTGCGAATGGCCACCACCAGTGGTGAGTGATTACTGAACACGCGCTGGGTCTCTCACCGCCCTACATAAGCATTCTCTGAGCTATATGGTAAAGTTCAGTGAAACAACCTCCGTGACTGACACAGCATGTCCTGCACCCAGGGCGCCACGATGCCGAGATGTTAACTACATCACCTGGTATGCAGGAGGTCGTGGGTTCGATCCCGACCTTGACGCCTGTATATTTGGCGTTTGCGGCATCTCTCCATGGTTGCATGCCTTTTTTTACAGGTCGTCTGGTTTCTCCCTCCGCATTTAGTAACATGTGTTGAGAATATTTCGCTGCTTGAAATTTCCACATGATCGACCACGTTGAGGTATCATTTGTGGTCGGTTGCTTCTGAAGAAAAGCTATATAGCTCAGTGGGCATTACCTGCTAAAAATATATATATTATCAAAGGGTTAACAATTAATATTGTAAAGAGCTGTCGTACTGTAACGTAATGTGGTGTGATGTGACGTGACCCATTGTACTGTTGTGTTTTGGTGTAGTCTTGGATGTGGATGTTAGAATGGTGTTGTGCGGTCGTGTATGGATGGGGAAATGTGGTTGTGTTGTGAACGGCGCTGTGCTCTGTTTGCAGTACACCAGCGGCGAGGCCACGAGTTACATCACCCGCAACAAAGCTCGCAAGAAGCTCCAACTCAGCCTGCCCGACTTCCGGTGAGTGAGGTGGAGGAGTGGCGCTCGCAACAAGGGTCAAAGTTGATTCGTCAGTCATTTAAACCTGCAACATCTGGGTGGTTCTTGACTGCTGAGCTATCTGATGGGTTGCACAGAGAAATTCAGAAAAGTCCGTTGTTGTACCGTGCTTTTATCCTTCCACAATTATGCTCCCAGTCTTCACCAACCCACAATGACCAGCTTGGTTAAAATAACCCCAAAACCAACATGGTGTAGGGAGGCCCTCATCCAGCATAGGGTTAACATAAAGGGCTGTGGGTTTACCTGATGACCTCCAGCCCTGAAAGCCTTTGCGACTTATGTGGGCCCCAAGATGTAACTTCGCTTGAAGTGTGTTCCAGGCATTGCTGTATATTCAATGGCGTGTACCCCTGACCTCGTGTGTCCCTGTGTCCGCCAGGCGTCTCTGCATCCTCAAGGGCGTGTACCCTCACGAGCCACGTCACAAGAAGAAAGCGAACAAGGGCTCGACGGCGCCGCGCACCTTCTACCTCGCCAAGGATGTGCGCTTCCTCTTGCACGAGCCGATCGTCGCCAAGTTCCGCGAATACAGGGTGAGGGAGATGATCGGGAGGAGTGAGTGTACGAGAGACAGGGGACGAGAGAGGTGGAGCATGTGTGGGAGACGGAGAATGTGTGTTTGTGAGAGAGTGGTAGGATTGAAACTGGGGAGACAAAGGCGGCCGGGCGTGATGCTGGCCAAACCAACTCCCTCATGTGCCATGCCGGCCTTTATAGGTGCTCGCTAACAGCACTTGCCCCAACAGTCTGTTAAGACTGTTCGCAGGATCTATTTCTTTGTTGTGTATCAGAGTGGTCGAGCAGCGGTTAGGGTGCGGCACTGCGAACCTGGCGATTATCTGAACCGGTCTTGGGCCTCCCATAGGTCGACTTCGCCTCAAATGAGTGCCTGGTGCGGTGTGTAAAAACATTGCCACTGGGGAGACAAAGGCGGCCGGGCCTGGTGCTGGCCACCCATCCCCTCGTGTACTGTGCTAGCCTTCATAGGTGCTCGCTAACAGCACTTGCTCCAACAGTCTGTTAAGGCTATACAGGGGACCTTTGTTTTTGTGTGCGGGAGACGGGGGAGAGAGGTGGAGTATGTGTGGGGGAACGATGAGTGTGTGTTTGTGAGACAGTGGGAGTGTGTGAGAGAGGGGGGGGAGTGTGTGTTTGTGACACGGGGGAGAGGGGCAGAGTGTATGTGAGAGATTGGTAGTGTTTGTGAGGAAGACATGGGGAGTGTGTGTGAGAGACGGGGTGGGAGTGCGCATATTGTGTGTTGAGAAAGGGGAGTGTGTGATCTCTAATTGACGTTCGTGTCTCTAATCTCTGTGTCTTTGTGTCTGCATGTCTCCCCATCCCTTCGTTATTTCTGTCCGCCAGGTGTTTGTGCGGAAGCTGCGCAAGGCGTACGCCAAGACGCAGTGGGGCCGAGTCGACCACCTCAAGTCCACCAAACCCACCTACAAGCTCGATCACATCATCAAGGAGAGGTGACCTGCCCTCCCTTGCCATGTGTCCTCCCTTGCCTTGCCCATGAATGATAAAAATGTATCCATGTCTATGTGCCATCCTATGTTTATTTGTGTGTGTTCCTGTATGTCTCCCTGTGTGCCTACATGTCTTCATGTCCTTGTGTCTCTCTGAGTGCCCCCCGTGTCCTCGCCATGTGTCACCAAGTGCCCCGTCTCCATGTTGCCTCTGTGTCTCCTTGTGTCCCTGGTGCCCGACGTCTGTGGACACGCCGCATGACGTGTATCTGCACTTTCCTTGGGCCCTCTGTGTCTGCGTGCATTGCCAATGTGTCCCCCTTTGCATCACTGTGTGCCTCACTCGTTTCTCTGCCCACGTGTGTCCCTCTTGTGTCCACGTATCTCCCGTTGTGTCCGCGCATCCCTCTGCGTGCTGAAACGTTTTTTTCCATTTGCGCTTATCCCACGCGCTGCGGGACGCGGTCTAAACGCTGTCCGCATGATGATGTCTCTTTTGTGTTTCTCTGTGCATCTCTGCATCGGCGTTTATATCCCGTGTACGACTTGTGCCCCCCCTGCGTGTCTATGTGCATCCCAGGTACCCGACCTTTGTGGATGCCGTGCGGGACGTGGACGATGGCCTTTCCATGTGCTGCCTCTTCTCGTCGTTCCCACGCTCGGGCCGCTGCCACGTGGACTCGGTGCAGCTGTGCCGTCGCCTGTCGCTCGAATTCCATGGATACGTGGTGCAGGCGCGCGCCCTGCGCAAGGTTCGAGCCGGCCCCACAATCGCAACAATACGTCATTGCACACTCACAATAACATGCCCAGCACGGTACACTAACACAGGCAGGCTGTCGTGGCGAATGCTGTGGGCGAACATCTCTTAATGCCGGCACGCCACTCGATCGAGTGGTGTGGCCGCCGCCGCTACACCCAGCCAACTCGTCTTCACCGCACCATGTGCTAATTTATGGCCGAGTTAACCTTGGGGAGGCCGAAGACTGTGACTGGTTTGCAATTGCTAATTGTGGAAGTTTTCTGCGCGCATGATTCCGTGTGCTTAACACTACATCACCAGTGCTGATGTTTTCACACCAGCATCAGCTACTTTTTTTAAGGCTTCATCAACCTCGGGGAGGCCCAGGTGGTGTATCTACCAGCCGTCTCTAGGTTAAGCCATAAGAACTAGGCCTGTCCCCGTGATCACCTGTTCGGGAGCCTTTCACACACCTCACTTGGTCTCAAAGTGCGTATGGCCTGCCATAAGCATTGTGGTGACATCACCGCCACTTCGTGGTGAATGGTAGCTGTTGGGTGTGTTTACATGCTTGTGTTTATGTGCATGTGTTTGTGCATTTGCAGGTGTTCTTGTCGATAAAGGGAATTTACTTTCAGGCTGAGGTTCAGGGCCAGACGGTGACGTGGGTCATGCCCTATCCATACTCGCACAACGTGAGGACACACACATCTACACCACGTTTTGTGTGTGTGAGAGACCGTGTTTGTGAGTGTGCAAATGTGTTTGTGAGTGTTATAATGCGAGTAAGCGCGAGTGAATGTTTTTGCGTGCGTGAGAATTCAGCGTGTGAGTTTATGTTTGCAGTGTATCTGGCTGTAACTCTATTGGTTTTTGGTATTTGTGTGTGTAGTGCAACGGTTAGCACGCTGCGCTACGAACCCGGCTAAGAGCCCGGGTTCGATTCCAACTCGTGGCCAACACCAGTGACGCTTTTCTGAAACTGGTTCTGGGTCTCCCATTGGTCGATTTGGCCTCAAATGAGTACCTAGTGCGATGTGTAAACATCGCCGCGAGTGAGACAAAGGCAGTTGGGTGTGGTGCTGGCCACCCTCCACCCCCTTGTGTGCTGTGCCGGCCTTCATAGGTGCTTACTAACATAATTTGTTCCAATAGGCTGTTACAGGCTATATGGGATATACTCTGGTTTTTTCGGTAAAGTCACGTAGGTAAAAATATAAAATAAAATAAAAAATAAATGAAAAAACAACTAAATTAAATCAAATATATATGGGATATCTCTTTGTCTTTGAGAGTGTGTGTGCATTTTTACATTGGCTGCTATACACGATAAGTCACTTGATTGGGCTATCATTTGTGGCCAGGTCACTTCTAGAAGAGCTATATAGCTCATTGGGCCTTACCTGGTAAAAAAAAATAGTTTAGCTTTAGGGTCGAGCAGGGTTTTGAAAGCTCTTAAGAAGGATGCACGAGGAGAACTCTGCGCTTCAATTGGTAGGTGTTCCTGATGGGTATGCTGTTGGGTTATACTGGTAGGAACCTCCTGGTTACACCAGCCCACAGGGGATTATTGTGTCAGTCTGTCCGTCCGTCGTGCATCCAAAAATGGGAGGGGTAGGGCTGGGTGGAGAGGGGAGGGTGGGGAGGGACTGGGTGGGGAGGGTGGGGAGGGGCTGGGTGGGGAGGGTGGGGAGGGGCTGGGTGGGGAGGGGCTGGGTGGGAGTGGTGGGGCTGGGTGGGAGGGGTGGGGCTGGGTGGGGAGGGGCTGGTCACCCCGTGGTGCCCTTCTAAAATTCAACGTTTAACCTACTCACGCCGGCTTGTGCCTGCCCTCAGTCGTCCATATTTGCGGAATACACCACGCCGCCGTTGACCCTGGCCGTTGACCGAGCAACCCAACGTTCCTACTAGCTCCCTCCGCAGGAATGTGTTGTATGTACTTGATTTGTGTCTTGTGTGTGTGTGCAGCACCCCACAGATGTCGACTACCGCGTCATGTCCACATTCACCGAGTTCTACACCTCCCTGCTGGGCTTCATCAACTACCGCCTCTACCAGAGCCTCAACCTCACCTACCCGCCCCGGGTACAGCACTACCCCCTCGTTGGACATCATCGGTGCACTGCATGACCTTCCACGAAACTCATGGTCCACCCCTAAACTGCATCCGCAAAAAACCATGGCAGATGCAGATGATACCTGATGCACAACTGGCAAATGTTAAACTCTGCAGTGTGCGACTGTGGTCATTCAGAATAGGCCGCAGAATGTATAACCACCAGGGGTGGAAAAAACCCGATTTTTCTGGAGGCAGGCATCGGGTGTTTTTCTTTATTACAATTAAACCCGATTTTGGGGAATTGAAACCGGTTTAATGAATACGAAACTGTGATCCAAGGCTTAGGCTGCTTCCTCGTCGGTGCTGCTGTCGTACTCGGGGGTGGGGGGGGGGGCGGGCACGGGGTAGTCGTAGAATGCGGTGGGCAGGTTGGTCTTGATGAACACCAGCTTCTCCACAATCGTGGGTGCCAGTGAGTTCCTTAGCTTGGAATGGATGAAGCCCATCGTTGAGAAGTGCGGTTCTGCAATTAGAACCAATTAAACCGGATTTCTCCCAATCTCAGACGATCGGGTTTAATATAAAAAGACAATTAAACCCAATTGTAAAAAAAAACCGACTGTGCCATCCTTGATAACGACACAATGCCCGCAGCTGCAATAGACTCCGCTACTCTTGATGTGGTTATCTGGTTTGAGCACCCGAATTTGAAATTGTAGTTTTGTTGCTCTGCATCTGCATCGACATCGGCCACGCGAAAGACAGAGAAGTGCGCTGCAGCCCCCCGGTGCCCAATCCCGGGCCAATGTTACATTATCGCCATTTATTTCCGCGCGTTTACATCGGTGCGTGGTGTGCGCCGTACAGGCGAGGCTCTAACAGGGATCCGTCGTCTTTGTTGGGTGCAGGTGGAGGGCTCTGCTGAGGAGACTGCAGGCGGTGTGTATGCCATGGACTCGGAAGCACACCTTGAGGTGAGCGCACCCCAAAAGATCCCCCGTGTAGCCTTAACAGCAGAGGTCGCAAGCAGGTACCCGATACCCGTACCCAACCCGATACCCGGCTATCCGTACCTAGCCGGGTACGGGTAGCCGGGTACCCGTTTGCGACCCTGGTGCGGCCAGGTTTGCGAGTAACTTGGTCTGCGAGTGTTTTGCAAGACGAGCAAAAATTTTAAATAACTATTAATTTGATAAACGAGCGAGGTCTTGCAATACGAGCAGTACGTGTATACGCTTTGTCTGCCAAGCGTCACGTGATCACACCTGATGTACGAGTGCTTTGGATTACAAACACGTTTCCGGAACGAATTATGCTCGCAATCTAAGGTTTTACTGTTCGTTGTTTGAAGGTTGCGTTGACCCCAGATCAGCTAAAATGGTCATGCCAGCAAGGTAATCGATCCGCTACTGATAAGGTCGGCATTGTTACGTGATCAGATGAAACCGTGGTATGGACAGCCTCACGTGATGACCATTATTTGGTGATGCTGCTGCATTGGAAGCGGTGCACAAGCACACTTAACAAATACACATCTCACCACACTCGTCAATAGGCACTGTTGCCTTCAACGAAAAAAAAATAGAAATCATCGCTGTTGTTTTGGGCAATGTCCCTTAATGTGATTCGGTTTATGTGTTGCGAAGAAAGACCATTGCCCAAAACGTTTCCGATTTTTTTAATATATACACTAATTTTTGAAGGCTCCAGTGTTGCAGTAAAATGTATGTGAGTTTTTATGTGAAACCAGCGTCAACTGGGATTGTGAGTTGAAACAAACCAGGTTGGGGTTAGACGTTAGGAAGCGGCCGTGGTGTTTGTAAGCACCACGGCCAGCTCGCCATCCACAACTGCGATCATTGTAATTTGAATGAAGTTGCGTTGTGTTTGATGTGAGGACGACTTGTCGTCGGTGTTAATGCTGTGATTCTGCGTGGATGTGTAGAGGTTGTGATGTGGTGTTGATGCTGTGATGTGGTGGTGGTGGTGTTGATGCTGTGATGTGGTGTTGATACTGTTATGTGGTGGTGCTGATGCTGTAATGTGGTGGTGTTGATGCTGTGTGGATGCAGAGGATGGCCGCATTGTCTCAGTCGCTGGCCCGGATTCCCGGTTCCAGCAGTAACAGTGAGGAGGTGGCCGAGGAGGAGCGTCCAGATGAGTTCCTCGTTGAAGAAGTACGCACGCACTCACACTCACACATGCACACATTCAAACTCACGCACACACTCACACTCGCACACTCGCACACACACGCACACACTCAAACTCACACACGCACACACTCACACTCACACATGCACACATTCAAACTCACACACGCACACACTCGCACACTCGTACACACACACACGCACACACTCAAACTCACACACGCACACTCACACACACACTCACACATGCACGCACGCACACTCACACACGCACGCTCACACACACTCACACACGCACACTCACACATGCACGCATACTCACACGCACACTCGCTCACACACTCACGCTCACACACACTCGCACACTCGCACTCACACATGCACACTCAAACTCACACACGCACACTCACACGCACTCACACGCACTCACACACACTCGCACACACATTCACACACGCACTCACACACGCACACTCGCACACTCACTCACACATGCACGTACGCACACACTCAAACTCACAAACGCACACTCACACACTCACACACTCACACATGCACGCACGCACACTCACACACGCACGCTCATACACACTCACACACGCACACTCACACATGCACGCATACTCACACGCACACTAGCTCACACACTCTCACACACATGCACACACATTCACACACGCACACTCACACACGCACACTCGCACACTCAAACTCGCACATGCACACATTCACACATGCACGCACACACGCACACACACTCGCACACTCATGCACGCACACTCTCACGCACACGCATACACTCGCACACACTCACACATGCACGCACTCACACACTCACACATGCACACTCACACACTCACACAGAGATTAACGGGTTCTTACGTTAGCGATTTACGAACTCGGCGCTTTCGCTCTCTAAATTACGGCTTGAATGAGGAGGGAGGGGTATGACTACACTCACAAAATTAATATCTTACTAGGAATTTTATATAACAAAAGTTATATACATAACTGTTGCGCTTTGTGTAATTCAACAAACAAAAAAATGGCGCGAAAGGGGAAATCGGCCGCGGCCGTGTTTGATCGCCACCCGAGTTTGTGTTCGTGACCAGATTCAAACATTTTGTGAATTTTTTCGCTCGGAACCCGATTTGGTCGTGGTCAGAAGCGTTCGTGACCAGAGGGTTCTACTGTACTGCGCAAAAGAAGTTCAACATACATGTACAAGGGTTTTTTCCCGTCATGCACAAGTGGATTCCAGATGGATTCAAGAATCCCCATCACTATGCTGACATCTCCTAGCTGTCTTGCATCTCGAGCGTACACCACTTGGTGGTTTCTCAAATGCTCATCAGCCTCGGTATTGCTAAGCTTCGGAGCTGCAGCCAGTTTGAGTGAAATCGACGTCAGAATCACAATCTTTCGCCTAAACGTGTCACTGCTGCGTCTCCGTTTGTCCCCCCCGTCTGCCCCCCCGTGCCTGTCTGTGCAGGAAGACCGCGAGTTGTCCGAGCGACGGAAGGCAGACGCCGCTAAACAGGCGGCACTGCGTTCTCTGTTCGAGGGCACGAAGTTTTTCCTGAACAGAGAGATCCTGCGAGAGATGTTCACATTCATCATCAGGTGTGTGTGTGAGCGTGCGCGACTGGGGGAGCGGTAGCGGTTAGCGTGCTGCACTACGGACACGGCGACCAGAGTTCAATTCCCGCTCGTGGCCAGCAATGCAAGTGACGATAATCTGAACCGAGCCTGGGCCTCCTCTAGGTCAACCCAGCATCAAATGACCTGGTTGCGGTGGAAGTTAAATGTCTTTACGTTAACGGGCTAAATGTCTCGCTAACAAAGCCAACGTTGCCCCCTTTCCCTCGATGTGGCGGTGGCTCTCGTTTTTTAGCAGACTATAACTGGCTGTGATGTTGTGTTGTGTGTGTGTCTCTCTCTCTGTGTGTGTGTGTGTCTCTCGGTTTGTGTGTGTCTCTCTCTGTGTGTGTCTCCCTGTATGTCTCTCTCTCTTTGTGTCACTTTGTGCTTTGTGTGTGTCTCTCTCTGTGTGTGGGTGTGTCTTTTTGTGTGTGTCTCTTTCTGGGTGTGTCCTTTTTGTGTCTGTGTGTGTGTGTCTCTGGGTATGTCTCTGTGTGTGTCTCTGTGTGTGTGTGTCTCTCTCTCTGTGTGTGTCTCTGTGTGTCCCTTTGTGTGTGCATCTGTCTCTCTCCGTGTGTCTCTCTGTGTGTCCCTGTGTGTCTCTCTCTCTCTGTCACTTTGTGTGTGTGTCTCTGTGTGTGGGTGTGTTTTTCTGTGTGTCTCTCTCTGGGTGTCTCTCTGTGTGTGTCTCTCTCTCTGTATGTGTGTGTGTGTCTCTCTGTGTGTGGGTGTGCCTCTCGGTGTGTGTGTCTCTCTCCTTCCCTCGATGTGATGTCGTTTGTTTGTCTAACGAGCTGGATGTCTCACTCGCACAGCCACTGCTGCGTTGGTTCGTTTACATCGACATGCTAATCTCTCACGATACAATGGCCGCCACCTCAGCTCTCGCATCAACCTCAACCCCCCCTTCCCCCCCTCCCCATCTCGGTTCCCATCTTTGCATTTCCCACTCGCTTCAACACAATCTCTAGCCCCCCACCCTCTTGCCCGATGCGGCAACTCCCCCCCTTCCCCCCCTCTCGGCTCTCTATATATAAGGAATTGTTTCAGCAGCCTGTTTCTCTCTCCCACCTGAGGACGATTGCTCGTGTGGCGATGGAAACGTTCGTGATCTATTATTTTTTTCTACCTACTTGACTTTACCCAAAGATTTGAAGCTTTCGTGACTGTGAGGATTCATATTCTTAGGTTTTTTTCGGTAAAGTCACGTAGGTAAAAAAATTAAAATTAATGAAAGTAAAATAAAAATAAAATAAAAAATCACGACGTTTCGGAGGCAACACAAGCTTCCGTCTTCAGGTGGCACCGTCACAGCACGATAGCTGTATCAAGTTGTCCGTCACAGCACGATTGCTGTATCAAGTTGATACAGCTATCGTGCTGTGACGGTTCCACCTGAAGACGGAAGCTTGTGTTCGCTCCGATACGTCGTGATTTTTTATTTTATTTTAATTTTACTTTTATTAATTACAAATTTTTTTACCTACGTGACTTAACCGAAAAAACCTAAGAATATTTACCCAAAGAACCAAAGAGCATGGTTGCGGTGTGTAAAAACATCGCTACTGGGTACATATAAAGGTGGTCGAGCGTTGGCGCTGGCCACCAAACCCCCTCGTGTGCCATGCCGGCCTTCATGAAGTGCTCTCAAGCAGGCTATACGGGGATCTATGTCTTGTGCGTGACTCTCAATGTGACAAAACGGCAACCCGAGTTCAATTCCAGGCTTCGTTTACCGTCGGCGGTGTGTGATATCTCAAGCGAGCCTTCCCGAGGTTCAACCCGGCCTTAAATGAGTATCCGATGCGATGTTGTAAACATCAGCAGTGGGAAGACAAAGGTAGCTGGGAGTGGTGCTGGATACACCGCACCTCTTGAGGAGCGTCTGGTGCCAGCCTCAATAGTATCTCCATAAAAAACAGCACTTGCCCCCAGAAGTCTAAAAGGCTACGTGGGGATCTTTGTCTTTTTTTCCTAGGAGCTTCGGGGGTCAGGTGTCGTGGGACTCGTCCGTGTGCATCGGGGCAACGTACCCCGAGTCGGATGAGACTATCACCCACCAGCTGGTGGATCGGCCCAATGCCCCACAGACTTTCATCAACCGGTGAGTTCGCTCAACGCACACACACACAATCTACACACTTGCACACTAATAATGCATGCCAAGACTCTTTCGATTTAAAGCTTTCGTGACTGCAGGGATTCATCTTCTTGGTTCTTTGGGTAAAGTCACGTAGAAGGGAAATAATAAAATAATAAAAATATAACATAATAAAATAATATTCATGTTCTTGGTTCTTTCGGTAAAGTCACGTAGAAGGGAAATAATAAAATAAAAAATAAAAACATTATAAAATAATGTTATTTAATATTTTATTTTGTTTTATTTTTAAAATAATAAAAATAAAACATAATAAAAGAATATTATTTTAGAATGTTTTATTTTTATTATTTTATTATTTCCCTTCTACGAGTGTTGGTATTCATCTTCTTGGTTCTTTCGGTAAAGTCACGTAGAAGGGAAATAATAAAATAATAAAACATAATAAAATAATATTATTTAGTTTTATGTTACAATACAGCTAACACGCTACGCACGTTATACATGACCATGACGTACGTAGCCAACCGCACTAATCGGAGGTGTGGGAAATATACACTAACACACCAAGGCACACGTCACAATGCGACTAACACACCCTACACACGTAATACACGACCATAACGCCGCAGACCTACATCAGCCGGTGAGCTCACAATACACATGACGCACAATGCATAATACACACTACATATATAATGCTGGTAGGAACCTCCTGGTTACACCATCCCACAGGAGATTATTGTGTCCATCCGTCCATCCATCATGCATCCAAAAATGGGAGGGGCTGGGTGGAGAGGGGAGGGTGGGGAGGGGCTGGGTGGGGAGGGGCTGGGTGGGGGGAGGGGCTGGGTGGGGAGGGTGGGGCTGGGTGGGGGGTGGGAGGGGTGGGGCTGGGTGGGGAGGAGCTGGTCAGCCCGTGGTGCCCTTATAAAACTCAACGTTTAACCTACTCACGCCGGCTTGTGCCCGCCCTCACAGTCGGGCATATTTGCGGAATGCACCACGCCGCCGTTGACCCTGGCCATTGACCAAGCAACCCAACGTTCCTGCCAGCTCCCTCCGCAAGAATGTGTTGAATACTATTCACTGCACACAGTAAACTACTTGTTCAGCCTATGGGCTCACACAATGCATAATAGTACAACATAATGCACAAAATACACTCAACACACACACACAGTACACAACACAGATAGCCCCCGAGTTACGATGGTCCGATTTGCGATATTTCGATCTTACGATGGCGATAGCGATACGACAAAATTGTAAAATATTTAAAGTTTCGCGCGGCAGGCAAACGCAGCAGCTGTACGAGGTACGATGCTGTACGTTGGGACGCTGCCGGGATGTACGCATCTCCCGCCTTATGTGATGCAGAAAGGAATTGTTTCCTGAAAAAACTTTCTATTAAATTGCAGTTCATATAGGTCGGCTAAGAATTTACCTTGTTTTTTTTTTACTTTACATTTTACTGTGCAATACAGTATTGTAATTAATAAATACATACAGTATATAGTTTATACAGTACGGTACTGTAAATTGCTCTAATTTTGCTCAATTATCACCAATCTTTAAGACTCCTGGGTAAGCTAGGCCATCTTCGACTTCCGATATTTTTGACTTACGATGGGGGTCGTCGTAACGCATCTCCATCGTAAGTAGAGGACCGCCTGTACAATGCACATGACGCAATATACACACCAACACCACCCCTTGTACCAGAGGTCGCAATCGGGTACCCGATACCCGCACCCTACCCGATACCCGGCTACCCGTACCCAGTCGGGTACGGGTAGCCGTTTGCGACCCTGGTGCGGCCGGGTACGGGTAAGGAATCAAAACCCATTTGCGACCTCTGCCTTGTGCCTTGCTGATCTTCATCGATGCATCTCTTGCCTCGACAGTCGTTGAAAGGCTACACGGGGGATCTTTGTCGTCGTCGTGTGCGTGTGCGCTCGTAGGTGCTACGTGCAGCCGCAGTGGGTGTGCGACTGCGTGAACGCGGGCGTGCTGCTGCCCGTGCAGGACTACTTCCCGGGAGTCTGTCTTCCCCCCCATCTCTCCCCCTTCGTCGAGGAGAAGGAGGGCGACTACGTTCCCCCGGAGAAACTCAAGCTGCTCGCGCTGCAGAGGGGAGGTGAGAGAGGGCGCGCCCCCGTGCACGCTTGGGGTCGCGTCACATGGTCACACGGGGACGCACCGGTTCGCGCTGCGGGGACACATGGGGTTACACAGGAAGACATGGGGGATGTTACAGGCTCACACGGGACACACGGACATGGGGGGCACGTGGGGATACGTAGGGTCACACGGGGACGCACCGGTTCGCGCTGCGGGGACACGTGGGGTTACACAGGAAGACGTGGGGAATATACAGGCTCGCACGGGACACATGGACATGGGGGGACACGTGGGGACACACACGGTCACACGGGACACACGGACATATGTTGATAGAAGTGTCACACGGGACACACGGACACGTGGGGATACACGGTCACACAAGGGACCCACGGGCTCACACAGCAACAGACGGGGATGCATAGGGACACATGAGAGTTACACAGGAACAAGAAAGATCTTTGAGGGACGCATGGAGACGCACACGGGGACACGTGTGGGGCACACACAGGGTTACACGTGGGTCATAGAGGGTCACACGGAGATACGTAAGGAATATGGGGTCAAAGAGTTTCTCATCTCTCTGTCTCTCTCCCCCGAATGGCCTTGCAGATACGGGCGCAGAGGATGAGGATGAAGAGGAGGAAGTCGATGACGATGACGACGACGACGACGACGACGAGGAAGAGGACGAGGTCGACGCCGTGGAAAAGAAACAAGAGAAGAGTTTAAAGAAGGCGGAGCGCAAGAGGATCGAGAAGAAGGTGCTGTCCCGTTTGTGTGTCTGCGCGTGCGTGTGTGTGTGTGTCTGCGTGTGTGTGTCTGCGTGTGTGTCTGCGTGTGTGTCTGCATGTGTGTGCGTCTGCGCGTGTGTGTGCGCGTGTGTGTCTGCATGTGTGAGTGCGTGTGCCTGCGTGTCTGCGTGTGTGTGTGCGCGTGTGTGTGTCTGCGGGGAGTGGTAGAGCGCTGCAGCTACAGACCTGGCAACTCGAGTTTAATTCCCGCTCGCGGCCAATGAACAGTTTACAGTGGTGAATATCTTCTTGGTTCTTTCGGTAAGTCACGTAGAAGGGAAATAATAAAATAATAAAAATAAAAGATAATAAAATACAATTCTCACGACGTTTCGGCCACAACGCAAGCAGCCGTCCTCACTGTGAAGAACATGTCTGTCGGAAAGACAGCGTCTGAATCATTCAAACGTCGTGAGAATTGTATTTTATTATGTTTAATTTTTATTATTTCCCTTCTACGTGACTTTACCGAAAAAACCAAGAAGATGAATCCCTGCAGTCACGAAATCTTTAAATCGAAAAGTGGTGAATAAATGAACGAGTTTTTGGACTCTTAGATCGTCTTCGCCTTAAAAGAAGTACTTGGTGTGATGTGTCGGCATCACTACTTGGGAGACAAAGGCGGCCGGGCATGGTGTTGGTCACCCACCACCTCGGATGTCGTCTTGGCCTTTATAGGTGCTCGTTAATAGTACTGGCCCCAACAGTCTGTTAAAGGTTATACGTGGGTATTTTGTATGAAAAATAACAAAAGATTTTACCCTTTCTGGAAATGAAACGGGAGGTGTTGAGATGTTCCAGCACCAAATAGAAACCTTTTGCAAGCAATCAACTCTGCGTTAACCACACGGTACTTGTGGTGAACATGCAGATCCCATAAAAAAGAGATCCAATGATATAGCCGCCCACCCCAAGCTAGATATGCTCTGATACGTTCATTGGCTTTGTGCTGTCTGCATTTCAGCATTTTGTGGTCTGACACTGGTGAGGCTAGGCCATTAAAGAAGGCTGTCTCCTGGTGTAGGCCAATCGGTTTCAAAGACAATGCATATCGTAGGAAAATCAGCTTGGTTTGTTGGCATGTTCACCACAAGTATGTGTGGTACTGGTAGGAACCTCCTGGTTACACCAGCCCACAGGGGATTATTGTGTCCGTCATGCAGGGAGGGGCTGGGTGGGGAAGGAGGGGCTGGGTGGGGAGGGTGGGGTGGGGCTGGGTGGGGAGGGGAGGGTGGGGCTGGGTGGGGAGGGGCTGGTCACCCCGTGGTGCCCTTATAAAACTCAACGTTTAACCTACTCACGCCGGCTTGTGCCCGCCCTCACAGTCGGGCATATTTGCGGAATACACCACGCCGCCGTTGACCCTGACCATTGACCGAGCAACCCAACGTTCCTACCAGCTCCCTCCGCAGGAATGTGTTTAATGCAGACTTGATTCCTTGCAAAAGGCTTCTGTTTGGTGTTTAACACCTATTTTATTGGCAGAAAGGGTAAAACCTATTTATATGTTTCATGGGTATTTTGTCTTTTGGGTCCTTTGTGTCCATACTCGGGTTGTCTTTTGCGCATGGGTGTGTGTATATATACATATACATGGTTATCTACATGTGGTCAATCCAGCTTCATCAATGGTAACTTAAAAACTATGGAAGGAAGTCCACTTTCGGTTTACCATTCTACACTAACCCGCACTGACTCGCGTGGTCAGCAACGCTCAAACGTGTCCCGCGAATGGCGCCATGAAGCCTTTATCCAGCCGTGTGCTGACGGAGGAGGGTACGAAATCTGCGTGTAGACTTTGAACCAATACGTTTTCACACAACTACCGATCTGTGAACATTTGCGCCTGCCAATCTGTTGAACTAGATTCGAATTATCAATGACTTATAACACTGGTCAACAAAAAAAAAAATTCTGGCCTGGACTTTTGCAGCTGTTTTAGACTAATTTCAGGGTGCTAATTCCAAATCTGATCTCAGATTTGCTCTATCACATCTCATTTTTATGCTATCGGCATACCCCATTTTCATTGATTTTACCCGAAATTAACTCTGTCACTTATGATTGCAAGTTGTTGCGAGTCAGTGACTGCTTCAGTGTTAAAATATGGTGCTGTATTTTTAGGATAGTGTGTTTATCATATCATTTTATGTAGATATCCATTATTTAATATTTTTCTTCTGCAGTTTTTATTGAAAATGCAATATTTGATAGACAAAAACTGATGCAAGATTTGGAATCAGCACCCCAAAATTACCTTAAAACCGTTGTAATACCTTATGCCAGAAAAATTGTGTTGACCAGTGTAATCTATAATCGATTTAATACACAATTATCTATAACATCTCTTCATAACCACAGTTCCTTAGCTCGCCAATGTGTTAACGGGTTGTATCCTGCATCGTTTGGTATGATAACTGACGTTTTGATCAACGTGTTGGCACCATCTTCAGGAAGTGAAAAGCGCATAGCGAAACTATGAAACTCAAATAAACTATTTGTATTTTGCCAGGTAAGGCCCACTGAGATTAGTAGCTCTTTTTCAGAAAAAACCTGGCCACAAATAATAGCTCAACAAAGGGTAAAAAACCAATTATCATATTTTTCTACTGGCAAAGGAGGTTCCAATGGTGTAAATGCTTACCCCGAGCTCTCATACTCTGATGGTGCATTGTCTTTGAGTTGTGCGCCTTTTGGTCTCATCTGGTCCAACACCATGTGAGACTAGGCTCTAAGAAAAGCTGTCTCGGGTGTGAACCAATCAATTTCAAGGACAGTGCATACATTATCAGAGTTGTGTTTTTTGTTTGCATTCCGACCGCAGGTATTGTGGTCAATGCAAACATGACTCCTTGTAAAAAAGGTGTCAGTTTTGTTGCCAGATAAAAGGGTTAAAAACAATTATATTTTGCTACTGGCAAAGGAGGTTCCAACGGTGAAAGTGGCTTATCATTTAGAAATATATAGCGGTCAAATACTCTTTAAACGCACGTTTCTAAATGTGGAGGTGAGGACCCGGAGAAAAATTCACACGACCACGGGGGAGAAAGATACGTGTAAACTCCAAATATACAAACAGGTGTTGGTCGGGATCGAACCCACAACCTCCTGTATACTGGACGGCAAACATCTTACGCAGTCGTGCTCTCTAGTCCTGACGTGCGTGTTTGTGTATCCCCGTGTGTTTGAGCATGCTGATGTGTCTCCTCACGTGCGTGCGTGGCGTACAGGAAGATGTGCGTGTTTGTGTGTCCCCGTGTGTTTGAGCATGCTGATGTGTCTCCTCTCGTGCGTGGCGTACAGGAGGATGTGCATGTTTGTGTGCCCCCGTGTGTTTTTAGCATGCTGATCTCTCCTCACGTGCGTGCGTGCATACAGGAAGATGTGCGTGTGACGGACGGGCGCCTGCGCGTGACGGACGAGGTGCGCGTGAGCGCCGAGCAGGACGCTGAAGAGAAGCGCCTGGCGCTCATGATGATGAAGAAACGCGACAAGCACCTCTACGACAAGATCATGAAGACGCGCAAACGCAAGCGCAAGGAGGTGGGGGATGCACGGCACACACACGCACACACACGCGCACACACGCGCACACACGTATTGCACGCTCAATCACACGCATACACGTGCACACACGCGCACACACGTGCACACACACACGTATTGCACGCTCAATCACCTGCGCACACACATGCTACACTCATACTCGCACACTCAACACTCGTACAAAGACAAAGAACACCCCCCCCCCCCCCCCCCGTATAGCCTGAACAGACTGTTGGGGCAAGTGCTGTTAGCGAGCACTTATGAAGCCCGGAACGGCACACGAGGGGTTGGGTGGCCAACTCCACGCCCAACTTCGTGCATCTATATACACACACACACTATATTCTCATACACAAAGATAAAGACACCCGTATAGCCTTAACAGACTGTAGGGGCAAGTGCTGTTAGCGAGCACCTATGAAGGCCAGCACGGCGCACGAGGGGGTGGGTGGCCAGCACCACGCACGACCGCTTTTGTCTCCCCAGTGGCGATGTTTACAGACCGCACCAGGTACTAATTTCAGGCTGAGTCGACCTAGGGGAGGCCCAGGACCGGTTCAGATAATCGTCACTGGTGTTGGCCGTGAGCGGGAATCGAACCCGGGTCGCCAGGTTCATAGCGCAGCGCGCTAACCACTACACTACCGCTCATACAAACACATGCACACACATGCACACACATGCACACACACATTACATTCATACACCCACGCTCGCATACTACACTCGCACACCTATCCAAACACGCTAGGTATGAAAGATCGCATCGGTTAACCTGTGAACATCGATTGGTATTCTTACTATTCACGTATCGATTTGTGCAGGAGAGGATTTGTTATTGTGGGAGTTTGAGGGTCACCGATCCATGTGATCCTCTGTTTGTCTCGGTGTCATTCCAAGCATGGGCCTATCCATGCCTCTTTTACACACCTTTAAGCTCTTGCTGTATGTATGTCGTATGCATACAAATGTCTGGCCAGATGATTCTGCGGTTCCAGTTGTCTACTTGCACAATGTGAAGTTAATAAGTTTAAATTCCAGTTGGGAGTTGACTTTACCCATCCACCATCACCCCCTTCCTCTGCCATGGCAACTTAACTGTAGGTTTTCAACAAGCGAATTTCAATAGTTTTTCATGCCCGCGATGTCGTTTAAAAATCAAATTGTTTGAGATTCGATTTTGCGTTTTTTGCATGCGGTCAAATCACACCCGTATTGCACCCGATTGGATGGGTAACCAGGATGTAGATGGCCGTGCATCAAAATACTGTACTTCTATGCTGCCACGTCAGTGTTTCCCCCTGCCTTCACTTAACTCGCATTGAGACCAGCGTGGTGAAATATGGTAAGATCACCCTAATGACCCCCACGTAGTGTTGTGAGGTAGGCCCGCCCTCGCACAGCGGGAAATTGACAAGAATCACATTTGAAATATAAAATCAGCCTGCGGTCGTGATCCGATTGCGGGACAAGGAACTGAGATGAGTGTACGCCCACCGCGTCCTGTGTCAGTCCGCTCAGCCGTGTAGCTCAGAAAGTAGTCTGTCGCGTTAGAACGGTGCGCGTTCTACGTTGACAAAAGTGTTCCCGAATGGAATAACTGTGCTGTCGCAAAAGCACATTGTGTAAATACGCGTTGAGCGAAGAGTTGTTGTACATGTACGCGTGTCCTTGGTTCTTTCGGTAAAGTCACGTAGAAGGGAAACGATAAAATAATAAAAATATAAAAATTTAATTCTCACGACGTTTCGACTGCAACACAAGCAGCAATCATCATCATCAGGTGTGAAAAACACGGCAAGAAGATTTGAAAAAAGTGGCGTTTTTTTTCTTTCAAATTTTCAAGCTGTGGTTTTCACACCTGATGATGATGATGATGATTGCTTGTGTTGTAGTCGAAACGTCATGAGAATTTTATTGTTTTATATTTTTATTATTTCCCTTCTACGCGACTTTACCGAAATAACCAAGAATATGAATCCCTGCAGTCACAAAAGCTTTAAATCAAAATGTACGCATGTGTTGTTGTAGGATGGCTTCGGGGGGCAACCTTTGCGGCATCGTATCCTCGCTCTGACGGACTGAGAGGCTCACTGCGTGGATGTCTGATTGTGTGTGCATTCTCTCTTGTCTGTGTGTGTGTTTGCGCACAGGCTAACAAACTGGTGGCCAAGCGAAAAGCCATTGACGAATCGGCCAAGGTGGCCAAAAAGCAGAAAACCAAGCAACGCTAAATGGCTCTTTAGAGCTTTTGCTCTGTGGCCAGACAACAGTTGGACTTCCTCCACAGCCATTGTATCATCGTCAACATCCAACTGTGCTCAAGTGCAAAGTCTTGGCTCTGTGTAACATCATGGCCAATGTTGAGCCATCTTCTTGAAAGAGCAGCCACACTTTTTTAAAAATAAAAAGCATAAGACTTCACGGCCCTTTGTCCATCTGCTGTTCCTCTTTGTTTAAGTCATGGTGGTGTGGGGGGGGGGGGGTCCTTTAACCCATACTTTGTTGCAGATTGAAGTGGGGACAGGACTCTTTCGGATATCACTTCTACGCCTTGTAGCGGGAAATCAAACCCACATCGCCGGGTTCACAACAACACCTTAACCACGGCACAACTGCTCCATGGAAGGGAAAAAAAAGCACAACAGCAATTCTGTTACAAATTCTACCAGGTTGTGAACTGGTGGGATTGACATGACAGCCCATCATTATCTCTCTGTTGTTCAGTAAAACAAAGCTATGTGGGAAGTTTGGCAGCAGTTGTATGTTCTGAAGACAGACTGGCTCCTACAATGAGAATGTGGAAATTAAACTTGCCTTGTGGCTATCAACAAATATTCACCGTCTGACTTGTTTGAGACATGATTGTTTGAGCAGGGAGAGGTTTCAATTATCTCGTATACCACAGACACATTTACACGTACACAACAATTTGAGATGCGTAGCGTGTATTGGTTTGCACGAATACGCGGATTGATCAAGGAGTTTTGAGATTGGAATTAGTTTGAAAACGTTTCCTAGTGCCCCTTCAATTCTTGGAGGCACCTGTGGTGGAGCTCGTGGTTTAAATAATCGTTGGAATGTCACAAAACCTTCCTTTGTAGAGCAGTGTTTGGCTCTGGGAATGGAAGAAAAAAAGTCAGATCAGGAAAAGATTTGTGAGAGGCTAAGGATGGGAATGGCAGTGCTTGGTAAAAAAAAAAAAACTGGTGCACTGAAGGGCTTGTCCACTGGTGCATTATTGTGCTTAAAGTTCCACAATGAACCTTCATTTAAACATCGCTTGTGAACACCTCCCAGGTGCTGAAAAAGAGTGATAGAATTCCTGGTTCACTTTGCCACTTGGTGAAATGCACTAATGCATCATATTCAAATAAAGTAATTTGCAGAACCATCTTTCTCAGCTTTGCAGGATCATAATCGTAGACCCACTTTACATCGCTTGTGGTGACTGGCATGATATACCGTTGTTTTGCTCGGCTGTCAGAAAGTTATTACGTTGGAACATCGTGGTAGACAGTGGTGACTTGTGGACACCTTTATCCAACATTGGATAGACTGGCTGGTAGTGCGAGCCATACCGTGTCTTCCTCCTCGAATAGGTTGATAAAACTTGGCAATCATTTGTAACGTGTTTCAAAACTGTTGCTTTTCTGTTCTGCCATTGGAAATGGAGATGCTGATATAATGAGCCAGTAGAGTCCTGCTTTGGGCATTGTGTTAGCACCTCCCATCGTGATCTGGTTCAACTTCACATCTACATTCCCATAAAACAACTTACAAACGTTCTGATTAAACTTCATACAACAGCTAATCCACACTCCTGTGCGTGTGCCGGTTTAAATATGGAGAAACGATTTTAGAATTTGAAAAAAATGTTGAATGACCGAGAAACCTGCACGGTTTGTATGTAAACTGTAATGATGCATTCGTTAAACAAATAAAATCTATTATTTCGCTCATGAATTGAGTCATGCGTGTGTAATACGAGAGGCGGTCGTCGATTGGTGGGATAGGCTCCGCCGGTTCAGCCATCAGCCAATTAGATCGATGCGCCAAGTTCAAAGGCGGAGCTCGAGGGTTCTTGTGGGTAACCATCCAGAAGGTTCGTGAAGGGGGTGTGGCTTTAGGTGGGGCTTGGTGACGTGGGTGAAGGGTTATAAGGGGAAGCAGGAAGCAGCTCGGGGTCGGTGTGTGGAGTCTCGAGGCGAGACCATGTCTCGCGCCTCCGGCATGCCAGCAGCCACGTGGCGGGCCGGAGGCTATCTCCTTGCGCACCGTGCGTGAGCGGGGGAGCGTGAGCGAGCTGTGCGCGGAGCGACAACATCTAACGCGCGGAACAAGAGTGGAGCGGTGTCGGTGTGAAGAGAATGCGGGAGCTGTCTAGCCGACACGTGTGTAGTGACATAGCGCTGTTGGACAGCAGCAGCAACTGCAGGTGGGCACTTAGCGCACACGCCGCTGAGCATCTACGTGGGTGTACCGGAAGGGCGGATGAACTGGGGCAAGGGTCATGATAGACCTCGTGTGGAAGCCCCTGGAACCCTCCGGAGGGTTTGAGAAGGGAGGTGTGGCTAGGGCGGAGCGAAGTTGTTGCTGCCGCCTTCGCCCGATCATTGCGTGGCCGGGCAGTAGTTGGCTGTCCCGATCGACGCCGTCGGTGCAACGCGGACAGGGTCGTGTCTGGGACGGGGCGCACGGCAGCGGGGTCGTGTGTGAGAGGGGCCCGGATGGTGGCGTGACCTCCAGATGACCGTGACGCACGCACAGACGACACTGCACATGTTTGAAACCATTTTGATTTATTTGCGGTGGGTTAGAATCAACGCTACAACCACTAGAGGCGCCAAATTTACAATATTTTATTGATGTGTAATAAAAGGACTCGAACACTTCTTTCTGTCTTCGTGTCTTTATTCAGGTTCACGTCTTTACCCACACGGCACTCTGTTATAACTCCTGTATTTGTAGCCCCCGGCTATTCACTGCTATTATAGCTTCCTCTCCCCTCTGACTCTCTGCTTCATCTACTGTAACCTCCTCCCTGCAGACTCGCTGCTACCCCTATGCAGACTCCCGCTGCTACCCCTATGTGCAGACCCTCTGGCTGTCACTGTATGCAGACCCGCTGCCCACCCTCTCTGTGCAGCCCCGCTGCTGACTGCAGCCTCCTCGCTGCTTCGGGTCGGTCACCGCTGGCCAACGGTGCCGATCCTCGCTCCCCCCGTGTTCGTGGCGATCTCGCCACACCCCGCTTCGCCCTTCGTGGCCTTCCTCTGTTCCTGGTTCCCCGTCACTCCCCTTGCTCTTCCGGTTCCCCTCCTTCTATACTCAACCCCTCTGCCCCCCACGTGACCTAACTCCTCCCCCCCTGACGGCACCTCAGAAGGGCCGTTTACAACCGCATTACATCACCCTCCCCCCTAAAGAAAATCCAGCCGACCTCGGCTGAATTGCAACCTGAAAAGCAATGCGGGTGTAAAGGGCCAACACGCAAAAAGACACGAAGCATTGAAGAACATTATAACAATAACACAACACAACACAATCTAACGAAACGTGAGGGATTTCGAGCGAGTACGGGTAGCCGGGCCGTCCCGGACGGTCGGCGGCCCACCCGCCGAGCGGGAACGTGGAAGGGTTTTAGGGGCGACGGGCGCAAGTTCTTCCGTCGCCATTGGAGGCCCGCCACTGTCCCGCTCGCGTCCAGAAATATCCCGTACTCGCGTCTGCGGAGGGATAGGAAGAGCTGCAGGTCCCGTGGGTTCTGCGGCTCCGGTCGGCGTCCCACAAGCGGAAGGTCCTCCTCCCTGCGGTGTCACGGCCGGCTTGTCTGTGAAGGGTACGACAGGCGCTCTCGCAAGGTCAGCAGACACAGGCAAGGGCGAGTCGGCAGCAACAGACCCCGGCAAGGCAACTTCGGGAGATGACGCATCCGGCCGTGGGGCAATGTATGGCTTCAACCGGGACGTGTGCACGAACCAACGCCGTGCACCAACCTGAACACGCGCCGACTGTGGGTTGGGAACCTCAATGAGGCGGACCGGACCCTGCCAAGGTCGATGTAATTTAGGAGATGTACCTGGCCGCACCTGTGGGCAATGAAGCCAGGCCAGGTCCCCCTTTTTCCAGGGACACTCCCCCTTTGAACGTCGGGCACACCGCTCATTCCTGGCCTGAGCCTTGGCAGTAGCCATGCGGGCATTTTCCCTCGCCTCAGCGACACGCCGAACGTTGTCCTTAATATACTCAGGAAGAGGCTTAACAGGCCCCCTCGCACCGGTTCCCAACTGGTCATGAATCGGCGGCACGTTCTCACGGCCGTACATAAGGAAAAACGGCGAGTATCCAGTAGCCGCGTGCGGCGTCATGCGATACGCCGAAAGCACCCCAGGGATATGCAAATCCCAATCAGATTGGTTTTCCCCGACTGTATGGCACAGCATGGCGGACAGAGTCCGATTCAACCGTTCCACCATACCATCCGTTTGCGGGTGGTAGGGGGACGTCCGTATCTTTTTAGTTCCAAGAGCCGCACACACCTCCCCCAACAATTTAGACGAAAAGTTACGTCCCTGATCCGTAAGGAGCCTCTCCGGAGCCCCTTTGTCCATTACATACCCAAATAGAAAGGCGTCAGTGATAGACGCCGCTGACTGGTCAGGCAAGGGCCAGGCCATCGGCCAGCGAGAGAGGTACTCCACCCCCACCAGTAAATACTTATTCCCTTTAGCTGATGGCGGAAAGGGTCCCAAAATATCTAACGCCACCAGCTCATTAACCCGAGATACTTTAATCGATTGTATCGGCGGAACATATGGATGTTTAGGCGGCTTACGGCGGGCACAATCGGGACACGCGCGAACGTGACCGACGACATCCGTCGTCATGCCGTGCCAATAATAGTCTCGTTGCAGCGTCAATAGGGTTTTCTGCACCCCCAGGTGTAAAAGTGTGTCACAGTGCAAAGATCTAATCAGCTCATAGCGCAATGACGCGGGCACAACGAGACGCCAGTGTTTCTGTATCCCTTCCCTCCACATCAGTAACCCATCTCGGAGAGCAGTTTCCGAATTACCCCCCGCACCGACTTCCTTACCCGCCCTCTCCGTTCGTTTCCGTAACGACACCAAAGAATCGTCCAACATTTGCTCCCGAATCCACACAGACCTTGGAAGACGCAAAATCCCGTCAGCCGGTCCCCCTTCAACCGGTCCCGGTGTAAGCGGAGGTTCGAGAACATCCACTGCCCGCGCGACAGGCTGAGGGGGGGGCTGAGCCGGTCCACACCTATGCGTCCCCGACGCACACGCACAAGGGGATTGTTGCGGCAACCTGGACAGTGCGTCCGCGTTAGCGTGACGCACACCCTTCCGATGATGAATTTGGAAGGAGAATTCTTGCAACGTGTCCAGCCATCTCGCCAATTGTCCGGATGGCTGGTCCATCTTAAGAGCGTACTGCAAGGCCGCATGGTCCGTTCGGACAATAAACGACCGACCGTACAGATACGGTCGAAATTGGCGGAGAAAATACACAATAGCCAAAAGTTCCCTGCGAGTGACGCAGTAACGAGTTTCCGCGGGAGACAAAACCCGACTCCCGTACGCCACCACACGCTCAACACCACCTTTTGACTGGGACAACACCGCCCCAATCCCGGTGTCACTCGCATCAGTATCCAGAATGAAGGGATGTTCAAAATCCGGATAATCCAACGTCGGCGCAGTAGCCAGTAGATCGCGCAGGCTCCGAAACGCCGCCTCCTCCGGCGGTCCCCACACAAATTTGTGCCCCTTCCCAGTAAGGAGATGCAAAGGCCTGGCGATAGTAGCGAAATTCGGAACAAACCTCCGGTAATATGAGGCGAACCCCAAAAACCGACGCACATCACCCACCGTGGCGGGGGTTGCCCAATCCCGGACACACGCAGTTTTCTCTGGATCCGTGGCCACCCCGTCCGCACTAACAATATGTCCCAAGTATCGAACGGAACGTTGCAGTAGATGACATTTCTTAGGCTTGAATTTCAAATTAGCAGAACGCATTCTGGCAAAAACGGCCTCCAACCGCAATAAATGCTCATCAAATGTGCGGCTGAAGACAATAATATCATCTAAATAAATGAGACATGTCTCCCACTGCAACCCCGTCAATACCAACTCCATCAATCTCTGAAAGGTGGCAGGGGCTGCATTCAACCCCATCGGCAGACAGTTAAATTGGAACAACCCCTGCGGCGTACGGAACGCTGTCTTTTCCCGCGAGGGCTCGTCAAGGGGAAGCTGCCAGAAGCCCGAAGAGAGATCTAGCGTTGAAAAAAACTTAGCCCCTGACAAGGCGTCGAGAGAATCGTCCATACGCGGCAGGGGATACGCATCTGCCACCGACACTTTATTTAACTTCCGAAAATCCACACAAAATCGTAATTTACCATCTTTCTTTTTAACCAACACGACAGGCGCGCCCCACGGGCTATTAGACGGAGATATAATATCCGCTTTCAACATGTCTTCCACTGCCCCTCGAACGTGCTCACGCTCAGCCGGACTCATCCGACGCGAGTTCAAGCGGATAGGGGCCGCGTCCCCCGTTTCGATGTGATGAGAGAGCAGCGAGGTGCGTCCCAAGTCCAAATCGTCCGAGCTAAACACATCGGAATAGCTCGCTAATAATTTATGAATCGCACAACGCTGCTCAGCGGAAAGGGCCGAATTTTCCGCACATAGTTCGGCGATCCAACGATCGTCCACCCCTCCGTCGTGTGAAACACCACCCACCAGCCCCCCGTCCGGAATGTCACTCTGAGCCGTAAACGCCGTAGTGGCGTGTGCCACAACGGTACCAGCCGGCACACACACGCTTTCAGAACTCGCATTTAACACCTGCAAAAACGGGCGTTGATCCGGACGGACAATGGTTTGCGCCCCCACCAGTGCCAATCCGCCCGTAACAGCGGCGGACGGCGACAGCAAAATTCCACAAGCACCCTGCCGACCCGGAACCGGCTTCCGGTATCGTAGGGGAATGAGCATCTGCGAGCCAGGTGGAATATCAACTGAAACTTCCGATAATGCCTGCACCTGGGCAACCGGAGCCGGTCGCCCCCAGGTGGACTGTAAAAACGCCAATTTGCGGCCCCCTGGTAGTTCAATGCAATTTTCATTGATTCTAATTAGAATGGGCATCTTAGCCAAAAAATCCGTGCCCAACAAGCAAGGAACCGCCAGGGACCTCGAAATTAACACAACGCCCGAGGCCGAGACCCCCCCGATAGAAATATTAGCGTCCACCTGTCCCACGATGCCCATACTACCCCCGTTCGCAGCGATGCAGGAAGCGTAAGCCGGCCTCACGGCCCCCGGTGGGATGTTCAAAAGATGGAATATGACATCCGAAATAATGGTCAAGGACGCCCCGGAATCCACCAAAATACGCACGTCCACCCCTTGGATCGACCCCGGTACAGTGGACGAACCTGTAGCGGCCGCGACAACCCGCCGAGCCAACTTACGCCACTGCGTTATCGAGCGACAAGGCGCAGATACTGGCCTCCCATATTTTAGAACATCCGCGTCGCACAACAACGGCGATGAGTGAGGTGTCAGGCCTTGCCGGGTGTCTGGTGCGCACCGACTTGCCTGTGCCGGAGGGTCTTTCTTTGGGACGTCCGCGATCGAGGCCTCCTGCTGGGGCGGCCCCGGAACCCGGGCCCAGCAGTCCCTGGCATAGTGGCCTCGACGGCCGCAGCGGAAACAGTCGACGTCGGGTCGGCGCGCAGCAGGCACCCCGTCCCGACGTGGCCGCGCCGGCGGCGGAGCCCGCGGCCCCGGCTCGCTTCGAGCCGGCCACGAAGTGGAGGCGGCCGACAGCTCCTTTGGGCCGGTCGCATCCGGCACGTACACGGCCTTTGTAGGGTCCCACCCTACGGCCCCCCCATCGACGACAGGACCGCCCGTCCACGCCGTGACTTGTTTCCAGCGGCGGAGATTGAACTGGGCGTCCAAACACTTGGCCGCGGTCCGGGACGTGAGTTTCTCGTGACCGCACGCCGGCATAGGAATGCCCAGATCCCGGGATAACTCCAACATCTTCCCCAAGATGAGAGGTTCCAGCAGGTCAGGTTCCGTCTCCGGGTAAGCGGCCATCGCGAGTTCCAGCACGGCGCCCCTGTACGCTACAGGCGACTCCTCCGGTGCGCGTTGCCGCTGCACGAAGCGGCGATGGGCGTCATCCGGTGGCTCGTACGCGTCCGCCATTTCGTCGAACACTCCACGCAATGTTTTCTTCTTCGCAGCTTTTATAGAGCGAAAAAAACGAACAGACTCATCGTCAAGGAGAGTCGGAAGCACCTCCAGCGCCTCGGCGTCCGTCCACCTTGCCGTTCGTACCGCCGCCAAAAATCGACAAGCGAACGCACTCCAATCGCCCCCGATGGAGAACTCCTTAACAGTTGTAAGGTGACGACTGCGGCTCCTTGGCCTGCTTCCGTCCGTCACCGACTCTTCCGGCGGCAAGTTCAGCAAGGCGTCGCAACGCGGTGTCGCCAAGATGGCGGACGATCCTCGTGGCGGCCCCAAAATGGCGGCTTCCCGCCTTCCGTGGTGCGCCACGCCCAAGATGGCGTCTTCACGCCGCGTGGCCGATGGCGGCGCCATCGAAGACGACCCGGGCTCCTGCCGATCACCACCATCACCTTCCAACGCCGCCCTTGGCGTGACAAGGTCACACAACTCCGTGATGACGGTTTTTAGGGTCGCCAGTTGCTCCGCCATCCGGGTCCATCTTAAATCTTCGTCCTTCAACGCAGATGGGTCGGACGCAGCGGCAACCTCCTCCACACCCGGGCCCTCACGGATCTCTCCCTTCGCCGAAGTGAAGCCGACCTCAGGAGGAAGATCGTCGTCGTCCGATGATGAAGCCGACGCCGGAGATGGGATATTCTTCTTCCTCAGTTGTTTCGCCATGCCGTTTCACTTCTGACTCCAGTGTAATAAAAGGACTCGAACACTTCTTTCTGTCTTCGTGTCTTTATTCAGGTTCACGTCTTTACCCACACGGCACTCTGTTATAACTCCTGTATTTGTAGCCCCCGGCTATTCACTGCTATTATAGCTTCCTCTCCCCTCTGACTCTCTGCTTCATCTACTGTAACCTCCTCCCTGCAGACTCGCTGCTACCCCTATGCAGACTCCCGCTGCTACCCCTATGTGCAGACCCTCTGGCTGTCACTGTATGCAGACCCGCTGCCCACCCTCTCTGTGCAGCCCCGCTGCTGACTGCAGCCTCCTCGCTGCTTCGGGTCGGTCACCGCTGGCCAACGGTGCCGATCCTCGCTCCCCCCGTGTTCGTGGCGATCTCGCCACACCCCGCTTCGCCCTTCGTGGCCTTCCTCTGTTCCTTGTTCCCCGTCACTCCCCTTGCTCTTCCGGTTCCCCTCCTTCTATACTCAACCCCTCTGCCCCCCACGTGACCTAACTCCTCCCCCCCTGACGGCACCTCAGAAGGGCCGTTTACAACCGCATTACAGATGTTAAACTGCGACCCTCAACAGGGGCAAACCATTGTGTACCTGTGTAAAACAATAATTTGGTGGTGCTGCTGCGTTGACATTGGTGCACAACCACAATTGATAAAATTCGTCACAATGCCTTAAAACATCGGTGATTCTGGAAATGGCCCTTCTACATAGCAGGCCAGAGAGATAGAGTTCATAATGATCATACTCTCTGGTTCTTTCGGTAAAGTCACGTAGGTATAAAATAAAATAAATCACGACGTTTCGGGCGCAACACAAGCGTCCGTCATCAGGTGGGAAAGCGTGGTCTGCTGCTGAGGCAGACTTTTTAAAAGGTTTGAAATGGGTGTAGCTCAAGGTGTCATAAAGAAGTGGGCGGGGCTCGTGATGTTAATGTGATTAATTAGCATGTAATTGTTAGATCGGAGAGTGGCCTCCTCGACGAAGGCACGGAAGTGGCTATGTTAATGTGAGAGATTAGCATGATGTTAATGTGAGAAATTAGAGGGCACGGAAGTGGCTATGTTAATGTGAGAGATTAGCATGTTACTGGTAGTAACCTCCTGGTTACACCAGCCACAGGGGATCATTCTGTCCGTCCGTCGTGCATCCAAAAATGGGAGGGGTGGGGCTGGGTGGAGAGGGGCTGGGTGGGGAGGGAGGGGCTGGGTGGGGAGGGAGGGGCTGGGTGGGAAGGGGCTGGGTGGGAAGGGTTGGGAGGGGCTGGGTGGGGAGGGGCTGGGTGGGGCTGGGTGGGGAGGGGAGGGTGGGGAGGGTGAGACTGGGTGGAGAGGGGAGTGTGGGGAGAGGCTGGGTGGGGAGGGTGGGGAGGGGCTGGGTGGGGAGGGGCTGGGTGGGGAGGGAGGGGCTGGGTGGAGAGGGGAGGGTGGGGAGAGGCTGGGTGGGGAGGGTGGGGAGGGGCTGGGTGGGGAGGGTGGGGCTGGGTGGGGGGTGGGAGGGGTGGGGCTGGGTGGGGAGGGTGGGGAGGTGCTGGGTGGGGCTGGGTGGGGAGGGGCTGGGTGGGACTGGGTGGGGGGTGGGAGGGGTGGGGCTTGGTGGGGAGGGGCTGGTCACCCCGTGGTGCCCTTATAAAACTCAACGTTTAACCTACTCACGCCGGCTTGTCCCCGCCCTCACAGTCGGCCATATTTGCGGAATACACCACGCCGCTGTTGACCCTGTGTGCTTGGTGGTGGGGGTTTGAGGGGGCAACGCTCTATCCCCGTACAGATGGAAGCAGATGGCGATTTGTCCACTTGCTGTGCACCGCCTTCTCCTGGTGAGCCCAGGGTATGGCTCCTCGACAGCCACAGAAAAGGGATGTTCACTATTTTTAAATCCTTTATATTAAGTTCGCTTGCTTGCGTGCTTGCGTGCTTGTGTGTTTGCTTGCTTGCTTACGACCGTGCAAATCTTTCGGTCGTTTTTTAACCCACTTCCCGTGATCCAATCGAGCTCACATTTTGCACACAGACTCGTTGTGCGTGACAATTAATTTTCGTGAAAAAAAATTCCCAAAATTTTACACTGTTTAGGGAAAACAAATTAAATATTTAATTACCAATTGCTTAATACTGGCAGACAATCATCTGACCCATAGGTGGCAGCCATCTCAAGCCAGAGGACGAGAAGACTCTAGCCGCCACGCATATAAAGGATTTATAGTGAAAAACTTTGTTTTTACGGGTTTACTTGTTGTGTGATCCACCAACGACCTCCACGGTAATGGATATCATCCCCGTCTCAAAGAGGCTATGAAACCGGCCACCTGAGCTTGATTCCCGCTCACGGCCACCAACACCGGTGACGATTATACCGGTCCTGGGCCTCCTCTAGGTCGACTCGGCCTCAATCAACATCCCGGTATAGGTGCCGATAAAATAAGTAATAAAAAAAACTATTTAAACTTTTATTTTATTTTGTAAGGTAAGGCCCACTGAGCTATACAGCAGGAGGCAAATACTCTAAACGCGCGATGTTGATTTTAAATGTGGAATGAAAAACCGGAGGACCAGAAAAAAATCCACACCGAGTGAAACACACTTTACATACTCTTTGGGTCTTTCGGTAAAGTCAACGTAGTTGGAAATAAAAAAATAAAAAAAGCTTCAAATCAAGATTGACACTTTTCATCACCATGCAGAATCGGTGCACCCTGAACCTGCACCATCACTTCTGCACCTGAATCGGTGCGAGCGATTCTCCACGCCGATTGACTTTTGCACAGGAATCGGTGCGAGCGATTCTCCACGCCGATTCCCTTCTGCACCGGAATCGGTGCAAGTGATTCCCCACGCCGATTCAATTCTACACCAGAATCGGCGCGAGCGATTCTGCACGCCGATTCACTTCTGCACCGGAATTGGCGCGAGCGATTCTCCACACCGATTGACTTTTGCACAGGAATCGGTGCGAGCGATTCTCCACACCGATTCCCTTCTGCACAGGAATCTGCGCAGCCTGCTGCCGCTCCCACAATGCACCGCGGCGCGAGTCCAGGGCGAAGTGGAAGGTGAGAAAGATGGCGGCGCCGTTGCTATCACCGCCAGAGCGGGCAACATCTTTCCTGGGGGAGATTGTTTAAATGTCTCGCGAAGATATCGGAAGGGGCTATCCAGAGGGGGTTTTACTTAGAAAGCGTCGCGATGTCGTTTCTCAAACCGCCGCTCAAAAACAATAACGAAGCGCTCCCGGCGCGAGGCCTAACTAGGTAGGCCTCGCGCGACGCCTTCGGTGTTTCCTGAAAGCTTTGGCCGCCCGAGGCGCGAGGCGACCCCGGGGACTTGGGTCTCGGGACAGGCGCGCGGTGCGGGGGGGGGGAGGCGCTAAAGTTTAAGTGCGCTGTGGCTTAAGTTGATCTCTTTTTAAAACAACGTGTTCTCTGCGCCTTCAGTGTCACGAGGCACGCGTTGGGTTCTTCTGCTCCGGTGTTGATCGAAGTCTCTCTGGGTTTCAAGGGCAGCGATTGTTGTCAACAAAACCTCGGGAGGGTCACCAGGTGTCGCTAGCACCGTTCAGTCGTTGAAATGTCACTCCGGTAGGCAGTCTTGGGACGATTTAACAACTATACAGGTACTCGTCTTCTTGGTTCTTTCGGTAAAGTCACGTAGAAGGGAAGTAATAAAATAATAAGAATAAAACAATAAAATAATTAGTGAGAATAAGTTTAAAATAATAAAAATAAAGCATAATAAAATAATTAGTGAGAATTATTTTATTGTTTTATTTTTTATTATTTTATTACTTCCCTTCTACGTGACTTTACCGAAAGAACCAAGAAGATGAATCCCTGCAGTCACGAAAGCTTTAAATCGAAAAAAAACTATACAGGTAGTCCCCGACTTACACCGCCGTTGACCCTGGCCATTGACCGAGCAACCCAACGTTCCTACCAGCTCCCTCCGCAAGGAATGTGTTAAGCTGCGAGAGGGAGGACATGACTTTATTTAGAAAGGGGTGGTAAATGTATTATGTACGTACATATGCAGTCCAGCCCTTTTGTCGGTCGACGGCTGGATGAGTGGCTCTAACCCACGCGACAAGTCGTTGTGGGAGCTATTTGACCATATTTCACGACACTGGCCAATGAGCGTCGAGGGAAGGTGACATCGAAGAACAGTGCTGTTCCTCTGATGAAAACGGTTGTCCCGCAGACCCATAGTAGCAGTCGATTACACATGTTCCATGCACGTGTCCCAGCTCAGTTTTCCTTAGCTTCTGCTAACTGATGAGATATTCCTACCATTCTGACTTATTTAGTCGTGTAAGTCGAGATGTAGTAGAAAGTATAATGATGACAACATGCAAATAAAGATACCCATTGAATGCCCAGGACTAGTTTAGATATGGATAGAACGATCCACAACTTTTTCAGGAAAATCCCGTGAAATTTGGATACTTGACGAAATCCATACGTGAGTGGCATGTGGGTGGAAACCATAGTACCCAGAGAAAATGTGCAGATTTGCACAGGTATACTTACGAATCCATTGATTTACTGCCATCTCATGGTGATGGCAGTACTCTTAACCACAGTACACCCCAATCGTGTATTAAACCTTGCAATGGATGTGCGTGCGTGTGTCAGAAGTGTACAGGCATGGCTACACTGCGTCTGGTGTGTGCCATCTCCAAGGCTGGTAGGTTCCACCAAAGCGCAATCCACCTAGGATTTGAAGAACTACTTAATTTATTGGTATCTCAAAATGCTGGATTGTCATTCTACCATCTTGAAACACTATCGTAGACCCCTCTGTGAGTGTCAGTCAAGAAACCCCATCGGAGGCAAGTCTGTCTATTTTCAAGAAACCTCGTCATAGGCTGTCAGGCAAATATGTGAATATCGCTTCAGAGACCAGTCTACCAGTTGAGTGTCAAAGATCCCATCGGAGACTAGTTTGTTTTATTGAGACCTATGTTAGAGGCCAACATGTCAAGTATTGTCTGTAGACCATATAAAATTATGCATCAATCTGTTTTCTGTACATCCCATATTGAAATCAGTGTATCAGTACAGTCTGTTCTCCTATAATATGTGTTTTCATAACGTTCATTTAATATAACATGATAAATGTATTTGGGAACACTTTTTTTAACACGGATGCGAATTGGATATAACGCCATTGAGTGAACAGAATTATGTTGCGCGAGTAGCAACAAGCGGTTGTACGGCTGCCTCGGCGTTGCATCACACAAGGCGGACTGCTGTTGAATGTTTCTAGATGCTACCCACGCACCTCAGATTTTGTTTAGTGGACTGTGCTTTACCCTATATTATAATTTGAATTTTCCATAACGCGGTGTTCTTCAGGGACGCAACTACCGCATTATTGCCCACACTCATCCCCGTCTCGACTCACTAGCTTGTCTCCGTGCTCTCAACTGGCTACCCATCGCCAGTAGGGTTACATACAAGACCGCCTGCCTCTGCCACAATGCCTTCATATCCGCCTGCCCGCCGTACCTTTCTTCATTATTGACAACTTGCAGCTCAGCACACGGCAGATTCCTGCACAGCGCGACGCACGACCTCCTCTTGATACCAAGATCCAGGATGGTCATCGTGTCCATGCGCCGCTTCTCGGTGGCAGCCCCAGCAGTCTGGAACGACATCCCTCTGCACATTCGCAGCATTACCTCAATCGCCTCCTTCAAGAGAGACTTAAAAACTCACCTCTACAATCATGCTTTCGAGCGACTCTGAGCTTGGCTCCGCGCCTCTGAGTTGCGGCCACTATGTCTGCAAATTTGCGTGCGTTATAAATTGAACTATTATTATAGGAGGACAGACTTTATTTTGCGAAGACCCCATCAGGTTACAGTTACTTAGCATGTACGAGTTGATTACTTTTCATTTGTTTTAATTTGGGGAAGGCTTTAGACTCCAGTCTTCATGGGGTATTTGAAAATCGTAATTGGTGTACACTGCTGAAACGGGAGTCTGGGATTTGAGAAGTGAATTTGGTGGGTTTATTTTTTATGTACACGAGCAGATTGAAAAAATTCTCATTGCCCTGAATCGGAATTGTTTTGATAATGGTATTAAATTCGACTTGTTTACTCTAAAGATGGTCTTCAATTCAATTGTCTACCCCTCTATTTAAGGAACTAAACAGGAGGATTTCTCCACAAATGTGGCTGTCGCCTGAGGAAGCTAGTTGTAATTACTTGCGAAACGTCATACTCAGATTAAAAATGTCGTGGTTTTGCTCTCCAACACACCGGTGCGCTGTATTAGTAACGAATTGCCATGTTCTGTTTACGTGACAAACCTTCCTAATAGGCTGTGTCGGGTGGTGGCGGGTTTAACGACATATTTACGTGATCTAACCCAAACAAACTCTATTATGGATCCATTGTCTTGTTAACTAATGTGAGTGGTTCTACAGTAATTTAGTAAAGAGTGATGATGGTTGGTTTCTCTTATTGCAGCAAGGCCGCTCCCTGGAATCCTCGTCAGACCTCTAAGCCTGTCGGCAACAGCACACTCCTACAGTAAGTGTGTGAGCATGTGCGTTTGTGTGTGTTTTTGCATTTTGCGTGTGGGGAGAGGTGGTGCAGTGGTTTGCACACTCGGCTGTGAACCCAGCGACTTGAGAATGATTCCTGGCTGCAGCTAACATCAGTAGCGAGTTAAATCTAAACTGGTGCTGGGCATCATCTATGTAGAATCAGCCTTAAATAAGTACCTCACACGATTGCCAAGTGAACCTCACACGATTTGATCTTGTACATCTGTGTTACCTGCCAGTGTTATTTGAATGGTGTATGACTTGAATTTTAGATCGCCTCGAATCTATTTCCTACTCCGTGTCGGCAATGTTACGATTCATATTCTATGAATGCCTTTTATTTGACCAAGGTCTTCCCTGGATCATTCTAGTAAAAAACACCTTAATACTGAGAAATCAATCAAATCAATACTTTGAATAATGTGTAAACATCAGGATTTTCAGTTTTGCGTGCTGTGTGCGTACAGCAAAAAGTAGTCCACGTTCACCACATGCGTTCCTAGTTAAAAAATAACGAATATGTGAAACATTACACCGATAAGGAAATGTTGCCTATTACATCGGCAGCGTACATGCGAAATAACGTGTGATGCGGCATTTCATAGCGGGGGATTCCCATACTCACTATGTATGTTGAACTTCTTTTGCACCGTACTTAGCCAACCGTGCTAATCGAAGGACAACAAACTAAACACAAAAAAGCAGCTCTAACAGCACTTGCTCCAGCAGTCTATGTAGGTTATACAGCAGACCTTTGCACTCACCCCAACACCATATGTATTCATAATAAACGTTTTTGGGTGAGATCGCGTTATTTATAAATGTCTCGTAACCCTCCACCACCCGACACGGCCAATCGGCAAAAAAGTGTCAAGTTGACAAAAGACAAATCGTTCACTACTTTAGCCCACCGGTGTGTTGAAGAGTGAATCCACAGCATTTACAATTTTTTTTGAGTACGACGTTTCGCTGGTAATTACATCCAGCATCATCGGGCAATTCGCCAGAAAGCCTGCGTGTTTAGCTGACCATATGTATGTTTTACAGGAGATATTTGATATTTGTATGTGAGTGTGTATGCACATGCGTGTGTGTAGTTGGGTGGTTGGTAGACTGCGAGACAATTTGGTAACTTGGGTTACGTTGTTGGTGGTGATTAACCTAAGTGGCACGTGATATCGTAACCTGTACTGGCATTCCCCACGGCCACCCTTAGGTTGACTCGGCCCGAAATAAACATGGGAGCAGCGTGTAAACTTTTTCATATTGTGAAACGAACGCTGCCTGGTGTGTCGCTCATTAACACTAACACCATATGGTTGATGACGCTAAATGTTTATGCTTTTTTATGTTCTTGTGCGCATGTGTGTGCAGAATATGTGAACGCCCTTGATGAGAACATGGACTTGAAGGCTGTGACTGACAGGGCAGCACAGACGCTGATGTGGACAGAGCTGTTCCGAGGTTTATACCCCATGTACACACACACACGCGCACACACACACCCGCATATACATCTCCACATGTACAGCCACATATGTACACACGTGTGTGCATGCACACGTGTGTGCATGCACACATGTGTGCATGCACACATGTGTGCATGCACACATGTGTGCATGCACAGTTCTTTGTCAAACCACTGGGTGAGGTGTGAGTCTCCCCACAGCATACTGGCCGTGGCGGTTATTTAACCATCCTTCACCACGCTGGTCAGTGTGTGTATGCATACATGTGTGTTTTTACACTTGTGTATGTGGCTGAGGTGTGGACTCGAGTCATGTGACTTGGACTCGAGTCAGACTCGAGTCATGAATTTGATGACTTCAGACTCGACTTGGACTTGCATAACAATGACTTTGTCCCACCTCTGAGGTGTGGACTCGAGTCATGTGACTTGGACTCGAGTCAGACTCGAGTCATGAATTTGATGACTTCAGACTCGACTTGGACTTGCATAACAATGACTTTGTCCCACCTCTGGTACTATGTGGTTGTGTGTTCTCATGCGTATGTGCATATTTATCTAATCTGATTCCCGTATACACTGGGTAGATTGGTAAACAGTCTGGAAACTTCTCAGCTACGGGCTCCGCTTTAGTCAGCGTGGCAGTCAGCACTCAGTGACACAATCATGATACTGGTAGGAACCACCTGGTTCCACCAGCCCACAGGGGATTATTGTGTCCGTCCGTCGTGCATCCAAAAATGGGAGGGGTGGGGCTGGGTGGAGAGGGTGGGGAGGGGCTGGGTGGGGAGGGTGGGGCTGGGTGGGGGTGGGAGGGATGGGGCTGGGTGGGGAGGGGCTGGTCACCCCGTGGTGCCCTTATAAAACTCAACGTTTTACCTACTCACGCCGGCTTGTGCCCGCCCTCACAGTCGGCCATATTTGCGAAATACACCACGCCGCCGTTGACCCTGGCCATTGACCGAGCAACCCAACGTTCCTACCAGCTCCCTCCGCAGGAATGTGTAAATGGTTGTTTACTTAAATCTGCTGAAAAGTGCTTGAAGAAGCATGGAAAGGTGCATGTTCGGGGTTGCGCTCTGATACAGAAAGAGGAACGCATGGGTATACCTAAGTTAGGGACACGGTATATTGGCTGTCAAGTTAATGGGCTCGGGCAGGAAACTTTGCGCAAATGGACGATCGTCCGGACTAATGACGAAGTAGCAGCCACCGCCTTTACGGAGTGATGAAATCAGCTCAGGTGCAGGTGCATTCGTCCAGGAGTGGATAGCCCACAGCCGATGATGATGATCATCCCATTGTTTTCCAATAACCCTTTCTCATTCAGTGCATTTCCATGGTATGTTGGTGATCCACTTGAAATAATAGAATAATTCCTCATGAGTTTTAGTCATATTTTACCCACCGAGTTTGCATACCTCTGTGTCTGTGTGTGTGTGTTTGTGGGGAGCGGTAGTGTAGCGGTTAGCGCGCTGCGCTATGAACCTGGCGACCCGGGTTCGATTCCCGCTCACGGCTAACACCAGTGACGATTATCTGAACCGGTCCTGGGCTTCCCCTAGGTCGATCAGCCTTAAATGAGTACCTGGTGCGGTGTGTAAACATCGCCACTGGGGAGACAAAGGCGGTCGGGCGTGGTGCTGGCCACCCACCCCCATCGTGTACCGTTCCGGCCTTCATTGGTGCTCGCTAACAGCACTTACCCCTACAGTCTGTTAAGGCTATACGACGGGGGATCTTTGTCTTTTGTGTGTTTGTGTACAAACATACAGGGCTGGCCATGACCCTAAGCTACCTGTTCCGCGAACCGGCCACCATCAACTACCCGTTTGAGAAGGGCCCCCTGAGCCCACGCTTCCGAGGGGAGCACGCCCTGCGACGATACCCATCCGGCGAGGAGCGGTGCATCGCGTGCAAGCTTTGTGAGGCCGTTTGCCCCGCTCAGGTGCCCCCCAACGCAACGATCGCAATGCATACGGAGTGACTGCGAGCGGTGCTTTGTGTACTGGGCTTCGTGTTGAGTGGCACAAAAACAACGCATTCGGTGACGGTAGAGATTATATAATGGATTTACCCTTAAAAGGCAATGTTTATATTAGCAAAGCTTGCATGTTCACCACAAGTACGTGTGGTTAATGCGAACTTGATAACCTTGCAAAAGGTTTCTATTTGGCGTTCGAACATCTTAACACCTATATTCTTGGTTCTTTCGGTAAATAGTCACGTAGAAGGGAAATTAAAAAATATATAAAACAATAAAAATTCTCACGACGTTTCGACTGCAACACAAGCAATCATCATCAGGTGTGAAATCCACAGCAATGCAAATTTGAAAAAAGTGGCGGTTTTTCCCTTCGACACCGAAAGAACCAAGAATATGAATCCCTGCAGTCACGAAAGCTTTCAATCTAAATCTTAACACCTGTTTTATTGCCAGAATGGGTAAACACCTATTCTTATTTTTTCATACTTTAAAACTAGGCAAAAAAGGTCCCATTTTATAGCTGCTCACCCAAAGCTATACGAATGCTCTTTTTCGATTGTAAATCTTTCGTGACTGCATGGATTCATATCCTTGGTTCTTTCGGTAAAGCCACGTAGAAGGGAAATAATAAAATTATAAAAATAAATACCAAAAGATCCAAGAATATAAATGCTCGGTGCATTATCATTACACTTTTCGCCTTTTGGCATTCTCTGTTTTGACACTGATGAGACGTGGCCCTAAAGAAAGCTGTCTCTGGTGTAGGCCAATCAGTTTCAAAGACAATGCATTTATTCTCGATTTGAAGTTTTCGTGACTGCAAGGATCCATACTCTTTGGTTCTTTTGGTAAAGTCATGTAGGTCAAAAATGTAAAATTAATAATAAAAATTAAATTTAATTAAAATGTATTTCTACATTATTTTATTTTTTTTCACCTACGTGACTTTACCGAAAGAACCAAAGAGTATGAATGCATATATTGTCAGAGCATGTTTTGTTTGCATGCTCACCACAAGTACGTGTGGTTAATGTGAACTTGGTTCCTTGACCCTGACGCCTGCTGTATATTTGCAGTTTGCGTGTCTCTCTCCCCGTGGTCGCGTGGATTTTGCTCCGGGTCCTTCCGGTTTTCCCCTCCACATTTTAGAATCAACGCGCGTGTCGAGTGTGTGGACGCTACAAATTTCCACGTGATAAGCCACTTCGTTGAGTTATCATTTGTGGCCAGTGTCTGTTCTTAAAAGCTGTGAAAGCACACAGTGTGGGCCTTACTTGATATAATGAAAAAAATAGTTTAAATAAAAATGATTTGTGGTTTATGTGTATAACCATCCTATAGCCCGTCCTAGGACGGGCGTATTGCAGTAAATTTGAAACATTCAAGCGAAAAGCAGACCACGACGCGATATATACATTGCATCCATTCGTGTGCAATTTGTAAGGCCGCGGTGACACAGACTTATTTCATTTGAAGGTTATAATCCCTTGTTCATCATGACGTCCTTTTTACTTTGATGTCTCAACGGCGTTACGGAGATCGCGTGACGTGAGGGTTCTGCCTTTGTAGTGAGGGTTGTGCGTTGACGCTGAGGAGGAGGGGCCTCCCCTCCCATGTGGAGTGACGTCACGAGCTCATGAGAATTAATGAGGGGATGTCCATTTGGAGGACGTCACCTGTTCATAATTATTAACGAGGGGGGCTGTTCGATTTGGAGTGACGTCACCCGCTCATTATTAATGAGGGGGGGGGGTGCTTCATGCGGAGTGACGTCACCCGTTCATGATTATTAATGACGGGGGCTGGTCGACGTGGAGTGACGTCACGCGCATTACACACAGACATTCTTGGCTCACATTAGTGATGTGTGTGTGTGTGCATTTGTCAGGCGATCACCATTGAGGCGGAGGCACGTGCGGATGGGAGCCGCCGAACGACGCGTTACGACATCGACATGACCAAGTGCATCTACTGCGGCTTCTGCCAAGAGGCGTGCCCCGTCGACGCCATTGTTGAGGTGTCACACAAACACACGTGCACAAAGATAAAGATCCCCCGTACAAGCTTAACACACTGTTGGGGCAAGTGCTGTGAGCGAGCACCTGTCAAGGTCGGCAGGGCAACACGAGGCGGTGGTGGGTGGCCAGCACCACGCCACGCTTGCTTTGTCTCCCGAGTGGCGATGTTTACACATCGCACCAGGTATTCATTTAAGGCCGAGTCGACATAGGGCGGCCCAGGACAGGTTCAGATAATCGTCACCGGTGTTGGCTGTGAGCGGGAATCAAACTGGGATCGCCAGGTTGGTCTCGTAGCACACAAATCGTTCCACTACTGCTCGCCACGTACACATACGTGTACACACATGTAAAGACAAACAGCCCGTTCCCCCGTCCCTATCGCCGTACAGATGGTTGGGGTCAGTGTTGGTAGCGAGCGCCTATGAAGGCCAACGCAGCGTACAACAGGGGTGGTGTGGGCCAGTATGGCCGTCTTGCATTCCCAGTGCTGATGTTTACACGATGCACCAGGTCCCTCATTCATAAGTTGAGCCAACGTCAGGGAAGCTCAATATTGGTAAGATATTTTCCGCTGATGTTACCCATGGCTGGCAATCAAACTCGGATCGCACAGCGCAGTGTGTGACGTGCTTTGCCCACCACTCCCCACAATGTGTGTAGTCAAAAGCATGTTCAATGATGACAAAGATCCCCCCGTATAGTATTAACTGCCATCAAACAACCTCTGTAGGCCAGCACTGCACACCGTACTGTTGTTTCCACACCACACCAGGTACTCATTTAAGGCCGTCTAAGTGATGGCTAGGATAAGTTCAAATATTTGGCACCTATGTTGACCGCATGTTGCTAGGTTCATTGCGTCATGCATCAATCCACTAATCCACCACTCCCCCACCTCTACGTGTTGGCACATGCACATATATACGTTGCATAGTCTCATCAACGCACGCAAATATACACCTGAACACACAGTACACATGGAATGCGTGTAACGCGTGTATGTTTGTCCTTGTTGTGTGCGTGCGCATGCACAACTGTGCGTATTTGTAGTTGTGTGTGTGTGTCCTGGAATGTTTGTTCAGGCACACGTGCTTGTATTTGTGTACGGTACTTCTGCGCACGATTTGATCATTTATAGCATCGCAAAAGGGGCACATTATTGTATGCCTACTGTTTGTGTGTATATATGTATATATACTTTGTGTGTTTTTAAGTCGAGGAGCATATACTGTCACACAAACTGTGGGTCATCCTTGCAGCGGCTTTTGGTGAACCGTCGAACAAAAACGGTCACTGCATCGCACGCTTTGTGATTCACTGTTTGAGGCCGTCTGGAACGCTCTTCCGATATTAGCAAGCGACTGGAGCTCTGCACTTTTAAATCATCTCGATTGAAAACTAATGAAGAGGTGCTTTGTTGTTCTTTTCCCGCACCTGATTAGCACGGTTGTCTATGTATGGTGCAAAAAAAGTTCAACATACGTACGTGTGAGTCCTGGTGTCTCTGTAATTGCTTCTGTGTGCTTGTTTGTGCCAACGTAGCAACATGAGTGTGCTTGTCTGCGCGTGCGTGCTTGCGTGTAATCGCGCGCTCCTTTCTGTCCCTTCAGGGCCCCAACTTCGAATACTCGACGGAGACACACGAGGAGCTCCTGTACAACAAGGAGAAGCTGCTGAACAACGGCGACAAATGGGAAGCGGAGATTGCAAGCAACCTGCAGGCGGACTTCCTCTACCGCTGACACGGCGATGAAGCGATGCGCGACGGCGACGCGACGCACGCACGACGGCACCGACACAATTCACCGCTTAGCACGGCAAAGGCAGGTTAGCAGAGGGTCAACGAAACCCGTCCCAACAATCAGAAGGTCGCGAGTTCATTCTGCTCAGGGGGAGCAACGCTGCTTCCTTGTTCTCATTGCGCGGAACTAAGGTTGAACTGAGGTTGTCCCAGGGAGAGAGGCTGGTCAAATTGGTCACCAACACGGCAATGTGTGATCTACATCCGTCGGTCATGGCCGCCGACAACCGATGAGAGGGGGACGCCCCAGAGCTCGTTTTATCAGTACGAGTTTCAAAATTGGAATTTTATGCAAATGCAAAGGATGTTTGCAGCGTGGGTACAAGTTACAGCAATAAGACACCAATCTATATTGCCTTCCTGATGACCTGTCTGTGGTTACATAAGTTAATTTACTCGACGATAGACACGTACGCAGCATCGCACACGGCACGACACGGTTGACACGATGCACAACTTGGAGATGAACTCAATATACCAACAACACACGACACAAGTTGCTTGTGTTTGAGGTGATGAGTCTACTGAAAGCTTGTTCTAGCGCAATTATTATTTACAACTGAAATGTACAGTGATGATGAATATGTCGGAGTGATAATGTTGCTTTTGCATTGTCAACCGTCCTAGGATGAACATGCAGCCTTTGTTCACTGAACCCTCAATTGTGTCCTGTTGTCATTTGTGCGTGAATTTTCTTTGTAACTTTTTGCACAATTACATTTCAGCTGTGGGCTTTGGGTCATGGAGAGCTTAACAGAGTGTCGGAGAGGGTTGGTGGGTCGTGTAGATTTGTACAGACTGGAGGCAATCGTTAGTGGATTGTGTATAATCGTAGAGATGTGTACAAATTAAAGGCAAGGATGGATCGTGGAGATGTGTGCAACTCCCAGACCTATGAGGCTGCGAGGTGGTAGTACAGAAAGTGGGTTACATGAGTCCGTCCATCTTTGGGCATGCTCCCTTATGCACAGTGGGAATTCTCCGAGTGCTTTGGACTCCTCCCGTAGGCCAAATACTGATGCCAGATCTTCTTTCGAAAAACATCTTTCACTCATAAAGGCATTCAGGCGAGTGGGAACGGGAAAAGTAACTTGACGTGTGCAACTTGACGTCCCTTGGATGAACTCAAGAAGCGTACGAATGTTCCCGTCTTTGGAAAATGTGAAACCACATTCACGTGTTTAGTCTAGATTTGAAGCTTTCGTGACTGCAAGGATTCATACTCTTAGGTTTTTTCGGTAAAGTCACGTAGGGGAAAATAAATAAGTAATAAAAATATAAGTAATATAAATAATAGAAATAAAATAATAAACCACGACGTTTCGGAGGCAACACAAGTCTCGCGTCATCAGGTGGGACCGTCACAGCTAGATTTACTGTATCAAGTGAGTACATTTAGCTGTGACGGTCCCACCTGATGACGGAGACTTGTGTTGCCTCCGAAACGTGATCTAAAATGTTATTTCTATTATTTATTTATTTTTACCTACGTGACCTTTATCGAAAAAACCTAAGTACATCCACGTGGGCGGCGAGGAGGAGGTGCCATACCCTGAGATTATTCCGGCAGCAGACCCAATGCCTCAAGTCAACGTTCAATGGTTGACAACATCAAGTGTATTATCTGCAATCAACATTGGCAATTATCGTCATTGTGTTGGGCAAGAGATGGAAAAACCAACAGGTACACCTGTAACTGCCAAATAGTATTGATAGCAACCAAGCCACATTGATGAATCACGTTGTGAAACAAGTTGTATTCCAAGGGAAGCACGATAAAGAGTCATGGGGCCTTTCAAATAGGCGTTTAGCCTCTTTCATTACACGTCTAAGCGTGTAGGTATGCTTTACAGTGATTTAGACACTTGGCATGTATGCCAATCGGTGCAGTGACATCAATTGTGGATGAAGTGAGGTCAGAATTCAAGACTTAAGGAGTTGGGGCTGATTTAACAATACATATAATAAGTGTTATTTTTTTTATTTAAAGCTTTCGTGACTGCAGGGATTCATCTTGGTTCTTTCGGTAAAGTCACGTAGAAGGGAAGTAATAAAATAATCAAAATAAAACAAAATTATTCTCACGACGTTTCGGCCACAACGTTGGGTTGCTCGGTCAATACGTTGTGGCTGAAACGTCGTGAGAATAATTTTATTATGTTTTATTTTTATTATTTTATTACTTCCCTTCTACGTGACTTTACCGAAAGAACCAAGAAGATGAGTGTTATTTGTAAGGCGCATTTCATTAAAGGATCCCAATGTGCCATTTATGGAAGGCAGGAAATAAGACAGATCCTTTGCTGGTGTGTGGCGCCAGTCGTCCCCCCCCCCCTTCTTTTCCAAGAGAGTCCTCTCCCAGTTGTCTGTATAACTCGCGCTGCTCAGAGGGCACGCTCTAGATCAGGGGTGGGGAACCTTTTTTCTGCCGAAGGCCATTTGGATATTTAGAACATCATTCGCGGGCCATACAAAATTACACTGGTCAACAAAAAAAAATTCTGGCCTGGACTTTTGCAGCTGTTCTAGACTAATTTCAGGGTGCCTGATTCCAAATCTGATCTCAGATTTGCTCTATCACATCTCATTTTTATGCTATCGGCATACCCCATTTTCATTGATTTTACCCGAAATTAACTCTGTCACTTATGATTGCAAGTTGTTGCGAGTCAGTGACTGCTTTAGTGTTAAAAGTTGGTGCTGTATTTTTAGGATAGTGTATTTATAATATCATTTTATGTAGATATCCACATTTATTTAATATTTTTCTTCTGCAGTTTTTATTGAAAATGCAATATTTGATATCTCAAAAACCTGATGTGATAGACAAAAACTGATGCCAGATTTGGGATCAGCACCCCAAAATTACATTAAACCGTTGGAATACCTTATGCCAATAAAAGTGTGTTGACCAGTCTTATCAACTTACAATATTAGCCTGTAATGTTTGGTCAAACATTTAATGAACTCGCCCCTAATGCGATGGCTGAAACTGCTTCTCTTTGGGCGAGGCGTGATGATGTTAGCTGGTGTTGACGATGTTGCTACTCGCAACTGCTTTTCCATGTTTGCTCCTAGATTTAATTAATTTCGAGTCCCACCTGCGGTTGCCCCCGCCCCTGCTAGAGATAAAGGTCTATCATTCCGTGTCAGTCTCTTGATCCGCGCCTCAACTATCATTCGCTTGTGGGTTGCGGTTGAAAGGAGCACTCTTGCGAAATATTGGTTTTACCGGTTTCCCCTTTAAGGCTTGACTTTGATCGGTGCATAATCGGAATGATTATATTATCACTCTATTATCGTAAGTGTTTGCCGTACACCGCGACCTTGCCACCGGGGATAGTAATGCTACAGAGCTCTTACCCACGTAGTGTTGTAATACTGCGAAGGACCAGCCTTGGCGAGGAAGCCGTCCCATGATGGCGATGTGGCCGCCCGGCAAGGAAGCCGTCAGTCACCAAGTAGCGAAAAAACAGTGGAGGATCTCAAGAACAGGGCGGTGGGAAACAGACACACTATCTCTCAAAATAATAACTTATTTACTCAGAAAAGGCACACGAATCAGGGGTTTTGATTCCTTACCCGTACCCGGCCGCACCAGGGTCGCAAGCGGGTACTCGTACCCTACCAGATACCTGGCTACCCGTACCCGGCCGGGTATCGTGTAGGGTACGGGTACCCGATTGCGACCTCTGAGATGAAGCCATGTGCAGGCGCGGGTTAGGATGATTCTAGGAACTTTAATTGTGAGAAGAGACAAGACGTTGAGAAATGAGTGACAAACGGTTACTCAACAGTGACTCACGGCCTACCCGTACCCGTACCCGGCCACACCAGGGTCGCAAACAGGTACCCGTACCCGGGAGGGTACCCGGGAGGGTACGGGTAGCCAGGTATCGGGTAGGGTACGGGTATCGGGTACCCGGTTGCGACCTCTGACACGAATACACCATCTTTTTTTCTTTCCAGAAATAGTGAAAAGGCATGTCTGCTGGGAACATGAAGTGTGCGAGGTCATATAATGGTGAAATCTTATCTGGTGAGATGAAAATAACGAAAATATTAATTAGTTTTAGTTGATTATAAAGGTTTTTGGGTCAGATCGCGTTATTTATAAATGTGTCGTAACCCTCCACCACCCGACACGGCCAATCAGTAAAAAAGTGTCACGTTGACAAAAGACAAATAGTTCACTGCTTTAGCCCACCGGCTAAATGGTGTGGCTTCAACACACCGGTGGGCTAAAGCAGTCTACTATTAGTCTTTTGTCAACGTGACACTTTTTTACTGATTGGCCGTGTCGGGTGGTGGAGGGTTACGACACATTTATAAATAACGCGATCTAAACCCAAAAACGTTGATTATGAAAAGATAAATAGTTCGCTACTTTAGCCCGTTGGTGTGTTGAAGAGTGAATCCACAACATTTACAGTTTGAGTTGTACGACGTTTCGCTGGTAATTACATCCAGCATCTTGGGGCGATTTGCCAGAATAGTGAAGCCATCCACCTGCTTCCGGTCTTACATAGTGCAGGATGACGTCATCATTGTTGAACCCCATCAGGATTCGAGATCAGAGGCGGGGGTGTATGCAATTATGTAATAGATCAGTAATCAGACACTTAGCATGTGACTCACCTGTAAGGAATTAAATGTGTGTCGTGTATTACATAATAATACGCTTCCAGGCTGCGCTGAGTCTATAGCTATCACAGCGATTGAAATTATTTGAATTCTTCTCAATTTCCATTGATTCTATAACTAGTCTTGGACAGTAATAAGTAGTTCTGCATAACACTTCAACGTTATAAAATTGTATTGAATGTCCTTGTTGGCAAGCATGCTCTGCCCCTGCTGACAGCTGCGTTTGGGATAATTTAATGTTCCTTTGGTGTTCTTCTAGTCTTACGATAATGTTACGTCCCGTCTGTCCAATATAACACTTAATTCTAGATTTGAAGTTTTCGTGACTGCAAGGATTCATACTCTTTGTTTTTTTCGGTAAAGTCACGTAGGTATAAAATAAATAAATAAAAAAGAAAAATCTTGTTCTTTCATTTATTTATTTTTTACCTACGTCACTTTACCGAAAAAAAACTAAGAATATAACACTTACCGCATAAGCATTTGATCCGATATACACCTTCTGTTGATAACTTCTGTAATTCATCTTTAGTACAACACACTAAATTCAAAAACTAGTGTCTTGTACTAAAGACGAAATACCGAAGCTATCAACAGAAGGGTTGCAACACATTATAAATAACGCGATCTAACCCAAACAACTGTATTATGAATAATACTGGTCGCGAAAGACTACGTGTTAAACTGAGTTTTAGTTTATACCATTGGAACCTCATCTGCCAGTAAAAAATATGATAATTGTTTTTTTACCCTTCTATCTGGCAACAAAACTGACACCTTTTTTTACAAGGAGTCATGTTTGCATAGACCACAATACCTGCAGTCATAATGCAAACAAAAAACACTAACTGATAATTGATCGGGTGTGGACCAAGCAAGTTCAAGGACAGTGCATATATTATCAGAGTTATGTTTTTTGTTCGCATTATGGCTGCAGGTATTGTGGTCTATGCAAACATGACTCCTTGTAAAAAAGGTGTCAGTTTTGTTGCCAGATAGAAGGGTAAAAAAACAATTA